GTACTTAATTTATTTTCTTTCTACGTGACTTTACCGAAAGAACCAAAGAGTATATGTAATATGTTTCAGATTACACAGTTGTTTATTTATTAGTAGCGATGTTTCCATATTTGAGTTATTTTTGTTGTTTTGAAATTCCAAAATATTGTATATAGAATAGTTATTGTTCAAGAATATTTATTGCCTGAAATGTCATTGCACACAATGTATATGTATGTTTTCATTATGCTCAATATGTGGTGTGGGCGAATCATTAATATGGTAAATACGCTGTAATGGGTTGTCTGGGCTTTTACAATCTGATTGAATTTTCTAGGCCAACAAATACAATCTGATACACTGATACTTTGAGAAATGTGTTGGGCATATTCTTCTTGCAAGAGAGAACCGCTATAATTCGTCTGATTCACTGTACTTAAAGAGATTTAAGTTTGCAGGACCCGTGGTGAGAGTTTATGAATGGAGTTGTTCAAACCCGTTTTAAATTATAAAAATCCCCCCACGCACTTTCATGGAATTAAAGCGAGAGCACATACTGACTCGCCCTGTAATTTGAATTTGTGAATACTCATTTCAAATCGTTTTTGCAAAAATAAATTAACTTTTCATACATATGTAACATACTTTATAAAAAAAAACATAAAATATGTGTTGTGATTCAACTGGCAGATACACATTTTACATCTAATGATTTCCATTTAACAACGTCCTACACTGGGGTCATAAATATTCGTATTATTGCTTAAATGTTAAGCATGTGAGCAAGTGGTAGTGCTGTGGTTTTGCGAACTGCGCTATTAATTTGATCACCCGAGATTCAATACACAGATATGGATATCATCAGTAGTGAGTGATGTATAAACTTGTCTCAGGCCACCCATTCACCAACCTGAGCTAACCAGCGTGGTGAAGGCCAAACAGCCCCCGATGGTGGTGATGTGGTGATGTTGTACAGTCGGGAGAGAGCTTCATCAAGCAGTGGAATGACAAATGTCTGTCAATGATGATGTGAATTATAAGTGTTGCTATCCAGTGTTTTTACTCATCATACTACGTGTTGATTGATGTCCAATGTTTCATACCATGCCCTGGGAGCCAAATTCAGTTCCTGAATGTGGAATGTTGAGGAGGAATCTTACGCATATTAAGCAACACCTTTCCATCAATGTACATTAAATACCATATGGCCATGATTAAATTTCCAACATGAAGTGTGCGCTTTATACACTACATGCTATTTTGTGCAATCTGTTCCTAAGGTGAGAACCCAGTTTGAAATTTATTAGCCATGAATGGTGTTTTGTTTTAGTAAATTCCAAAAGAATATTGCATTCACCGAGTATTAATATAATTCTGTGTATGACTAACAATTTCAAAGGAAAACTTTTTTTGTCATTTGTTGAAATAGACATCATACATTATTACAGAATCATCAATATAATAAAATGCATATATATTTTTACTACTCGTACAATGTGGCATCTTCCATATACTGTTATTTAGCGCTAATGAGGAGCGCTCTATTGTCACAATAAAACTAAAGCAGATGCTCCCCTTAATGAATTATGCATGATAATATCCTTGTGTTCTCCATTTCGCCAGTTCATGCTGTCATTTTATGACATTCTAGCACATGATCTTTACTCCTTTGCAAATTTGATATTTTTGAACATTTCGGGAGTATTCCTACATTTTTCATTAAGCCCAAAATTCTTAACAGGTTTTTACCTTCTCTCTCATTTTAGTTGAGAGTCTAACCACAAAGAAGTTTGCCACCCATGTTTTATGTTCATAGTTAGGGTTAATGAGCTTCGATGATGAAAAAAAAACCAAGGCAAAATATATTCCCGGAAATGTTTCGTACTATCTAAGAGAATGAGTAAAAAGATTAAAGGTTACATCGTGTGCGTCTCTTTTACTATAGTGCTGGTAAACTGAAGATCAATTTATACTCTTAGGTATTTCGGTAAAGTCACGTAGATATAAAATAAATAATAAAATATATTTATTTTTTACCTACGTGACTTTACCGAAAAACCTAAGAGTATGAATCATTGCAGTCACGAAAACCTCAAAGCTAGAATGAAGATCAATATGTCAGCAACAAAGGATGAGTGGGAATGCTTCTCTAATGACGACTTTCATGGTTCTTTCTTTCCACTGACAAATCTTTGTTTATTCTCAGATGAAGATCATACTTGTTGATAATATTCCCAGAAAGCACTGCAGCAGTAGCCCATGTGGCAGCTCACACCGCCACCAATGGCATGTTCCCTATTACAGTCAGACCTTGATCATCCTCCAAATGTTTTTGTCCCTTAGGTTACCTATGGCACAACCACAACGCACACAAAAAAACGCCATACATTCATCAATAACACTGCTCTAAAAGGAGAAAAAAACTAATCAGTGGCATGTTCGGTAAAGCCCTGTTTAAATATATAATACGTAAGTCATCAATTTATGTTGGAGATGCGTTGCTGGACAATACGACATGATGCGAAAGAATGTAAATCAAAACCTATAGTTGTCATTGATGTAATTATATGAATTTAGGACAAAAAAATATAACAAAAGATACCGGCAAGTTTAAATGAACAATATAAGTGAATACAGAGTACCCACCAGAGATGGTGGTGGATATTGCATTTAGGTGGTTGTGGGGTCAAGTGGAGTGGAGTTACAGTATGACGACGTTGTACAGTACACAGTATGGCGGCGATGTTGTACAGTACACAATATGGCGGCGACGTTGTACAGTACACAATATGGCGGCGATGTTGTGCAGTACTCAATATGGCGGCCGATGTTGTACATAGTATGGTGGCGATGTTGTACAGTACTCAATATGGCGGCGATGTTGTACAGTACACAGTATGGTGGCGATGTACAGTACACCGTATGGCGGTGATGTTGTACAGTACTCAATATGGCGGCGATGTTGTACAGTACAAAGTATGGTGGCGATTTTGTACAGTACTCAATATGGCGATGATGTTGTACAGTACACAGTATGGTGGCGATGTTGTACAGTACACAGTATGGCGGCGATGTTGTACAGTACACAGTTTGGCGGCAATGTTGTACAGTGCACGGCTATGGCGGCGATGTTGTACAGTACACAGTATGGTGGCGATGTTGTACAGTACTCAGTATGGCGGCGATGTTGTACAGTACACAGTATGGCGGCGATGTTTTACAGTACACAATATGGCGGCGATGTTTTACAGTGCACAGTATGGCGGCGATGCTGTACAGTACACATTATGGCGGCGATGTTTTACAGTACACAGTATGGCGGCGATGTTGCACAGTACACAGTATGGCGGCGATGTTGCACAGTACACAGTATGGCGGCGATGTTGTACAGTTGACAGTATGGCGGAGATGTTGTACAGTACACAGTATGGTGGCGATGCTGTACAGTGCACAGTATGGCGGCGATGTTGCACAGTACACAGTATGGCGGCGATGTTGTACAGTTGACAGTATGGCGGAGATGTTGTACAGTACACAGTATGGCGGCGATGCTGTACAGTACACAGTATAGAGGCGATGTTGTACAGTACACAGTGTGGTGGCCATATTGTACAGTACACAATATGGCGGCGATGTTTCCAGTACACAGTATGGCGGCCATGTTGTACAGTACACATTATGGCGACGATGTTGTACAGTAGACAGTATGGCGGAGATGTTGTAGAGTACACAGTATGGCGACTATGATGTACAGTACACAGTATGGCGGCGACGTTGTACAGTACACAGTATGGCGGCGATGTTGTACAGTACACAGTATGGCGGCGATGTTGTACAGTGCACAATATGGCGGCAATGTTGTACAGTGCACGGTATGGCGGCGATGTTGTACAGTACACAGTATGGCGGCGAAGTTGTACAGTACTCAGTATGGCGGCGATGTTGTACAGTACTCAGTATGGCGGCGATGTTGTACAGTACACGGTATGGCGGCGATGTTTTACAGTACACGGTATGGCGGCGATGTTGTACAGTACACGATATGGCGGCGATGTTGTACAGTACACGGTATGGCGGCGATGTTGTTAAAACACGTTTGAGGGTACAATGCCCACTTGGGGAGCGCTGTGGCCTAGTGCGTCATCGCGTACGTCGCCCAAACTCCTGCGTTTCTTTTCTATAAATTTTCCAAAACGACGTTGCAGTGGCTCCACACATTGTAAATCAAACCACGTTCCCTAATTCGTTGGCGACGTTATAGTGAAGCAACGTAATTAGAGGGCTCTCTGTACCTATTTCGATTCAGAGCGGTGTTAGTTATCTGGGTGGTTCTTGTGGGGCCGTCCATAAATGACGTCACGCACCAAGGGGGGGTGGGGTCAGACATTTGTGACGATGTGTGGGGGGCGGGGTTTGAGAATTGTGACGTCACATCAAAATGCGCAACTTTAAATAAATATAGACAACACGTTCTACTTAATTAAATAAACTTTTTAATAAATGTTTTCTCCTACAACATCATAGTGCAGCGCCACATTAATACGCACTACAATGACAATACTTTAAAGCGATTTGAAGAATGTTTAATTTTGTGGGGGGGGGCAGAGCTTTGTGACGTCATATTTGAGGGGGGGTCTGACTTTTGTGACACCGTGTGACAAAGGGGCGGGAGGGATCAAAAATCGTCCAAAATCGCGTGACGTCATTTATGAACGGCCCCTATGCACCACTACCAACGTGTTATCACACATTTGTGCCTTTTAACTAAGACAGGAAATTAAGGCCATGCTTCAAAATTGATTTTCAGGCCAGATTGTGTAAGTAAAATCTGTCGTACACCCTCCTCCACCCGACACAGCCAATTATTAAAGTTATCACTTGAACAAACGTGCCAATGTATTACTGCTTCAGCAGCACTGGTGCGTTTGTTCACATGCCAACTTTTGTTAAATGGCTGTGTTCCAAAAGCATACTTGTTAAAATTAGGTTATGTCTGAACCTGCGTGCTGTTTGTCTCATAGAGGCCCATGAGGTTTGTGAAGAAGACCACTTCTGGGTAACCTGGAGGAGAACAGCAGCCGGGGAATCAACAGGAACTATCTGCCCTCCAAACGCCACAGGTCTGTGAGTCACTATCGTAGTCATCTGTTTGTTATACGTATGTAGGACTTGAAATATGACGCGCCACGCATTCTGTTGTTCTGTTGCTATGCAAGCGAGCAGTGTACAGTGGGGAGTATCTGAGGACAGGGTTGTTGTTGTTGGGGCGTGAGGGAGACGTCGTTAAGATGTGCGACAGGTGTTAGGGGTAACCGAGGACGCAGGCCGGTGATTGGTTAGGAGGGTGAGTAGCTAATGACCGGCGCCGCTCTGGCGGGAATAACAAGGTCACGTGAGGCTGGGGGCCTGGGGGCGAGTGGCGAAGCGGGGGGGGGGGGGGGGGGGGGGTGAGATAATTGATTGGGACTGATTGGTGCGGGGATAAAAGGACGGCGTAACGGAGAGACGGGAGTCTTGGTTGGAGTTGGAGGGATTCGCGCCCGGGGAAGAGAGGAGCAGCAGTGAGTAGGGAAGATACAATAAGGGTAACAGTGGATAGAGATAACACAGAGTATGGTAACAGTGGATAGAGAGAACACAGAGTACGGTAGCAGTGGATAGAGAGAACACAGAGTATGGTAGCAGTGGATAGAGAGAACACAGAGTATGGTAGCAGTGGATAGAGAGAACACAGAGTATGGTAGCAGTGGATAGAGATAACACAGAGTACGGTAGCAGTGGATAGAGAGAACACAGAGTATGGTAGCAGTGGATAGAGAGAACACAGAGTATGGTAGCAGTGGATAGAGAGAACACAGAGTATGGTAACAGTGGATAGAGATAACACAGAGTACGGTAGCAGTGGATAGAGAGAACACAGAGTATGGTAGCAGTGGATAGAGAGAACACAGAGTATGGTAGCAGTGGATAGAGAGAACACAGAGTATGGTAGCAGTGGATAGAGAGAACACAGAGTATGGTAGCAGTGGATAGAGAGAACACAGAGTATGGTAGCAGTGGATAGAGATAACACAGAGTACGGTAGCAGTGGATAGAGAGAACACAGTGTGCGGTAGCAGTGGTAGCAGTGCATCGGAGGAATACAGAGTAGGGTAGCAGCGGAGTAACGGACCTTGGGAGAGCAGGAGAGAGAACGGAGAGACATAGAGTGTCGTTGATGGCGGATGGTGCAACAGAGCGCACGGGGAGACACGGAGCGGTGATAAGGAGGAGGTGTGAACTCTAAAGTGCGAATAAATGGAACGAGAAAGACAAGCGGAGTACGAGTCCTACACGTACATAAAAGACAAATGACCATAAAGGCAACGTGGGTCATTGTTAAAAGGACATTTACTCAAAGGCCGGTGAATACTTGTTCCTGTGAATTATGGCATAACACCTGCCTTTACACCTATTTATACTAAAATATATCCACTTCGTTGATGATTTTTTTTTATTGGTGTGTTTTTTTGCTTATGCTTACATGCAAGGTTTAGACAATGAGACAAAAATGTATCTAATCGAACGGAGCTCCAATTAAACACATGCGTGTATATGTTCGCAATGTATACATGTCTTTATATAATTGTTTCTTTGCTTGCTTGTACATATATAGTGATATTAGAGCCTTGCTTCTTCTTGTTATTTGTCTTCTCTATCTTGGGTCTGTCTTCCTTGTCTTGTTTCTCTTTATCCTTCCTCTCCTGGGCCATCATCTCCACATCCACTCCACAGTTCCTTCATATCTTAGTTCAGCACTTCGACCACGTCTCTCTACGCCTTGTCTCTCACTCTCTGCCCCTGTTGCTTTCATGATCACCACAATTTTTCTGATGTAGTTTCCTCGCATCGTATGCCACATCCTATCCATCTAAGTCAACTTTATTTAGGCTTGTTTGTGATGGGAACCACCCCTGCCTTATTCCTCGTATCTTTGTTTTTGAACCGACCTTTTCTAGTGATGCCTGAGATCAATATCATCATCCTTATTTGTGTGGGGCACAACATTGACTGTTTCACTGGCCTCATATACTTTCGCTTTCATGTGATTGGTTCTCAAAATCCTAGCTCACCCTCCATGTGTATAATACTCTGTATGTGTGTATATGCATCAGTATGAAGTGAAAAAAAAAGTCAACTTTATTTAGGCTTGTTTGTGATGGGAACCACCCCTGCCTTATTTCTCGTATCTTTGTTTTTGAACCGACCTTTTCTAGTGATGCCTGAGATCAATATCATCATCCTTATTTGTGTGAGGCACAACATTGACTGTTTCACTGGCCTCATATACTTTCGCTTTCATGTGATTGGTTCTCAAAATCCTAGCTCACCCTCCATGTGTATAATACTCTGTATGTGTGTATATGCATCAGTATGAAGTGAAAAAAAAGTCAACTTTATTTAGGCTTGTTTGTGATGGGAACCACCCCTGCCTTATTTCTCGTATCTTTGTTTCTGAACCGACCTTTTCTAGTGCTGCCTGAGATCAATATCATCATCCTTATTTGTGTGGGGCACAACATTGACTGTTTCACTGGCCTCATATACTTTCGCTTTCACGTGATTGATTCTCAAAATCATCGCTCACCCTCCATGTGTATAATACTCTGTATGTGTGTATATGCATCAGTATGAAGTGAAAAAAAAGTCAACTTTATTTAGGCTTGTTTGTGATGGGAACCATCCCTGCCTTATTCCTCGATCTTTGTTTCTGAACCAACCTTTTCTAGTGCTGCCTGATATCAATATCATCATCCTTATTTGTGTGGGGCACAACATTGACTCTTTCACTGTTCTCATATACTTTCGCTTTCACGTGATTGATTCTCAAAATCATCGCTCACCCTCCATGTGTATAATACTCTGTATGTGTGTATATGCATCAGTATGAAGTGAAAAAAAAGTCAACTTTATTTAGGCTTGTTTGTGATGGGAACCATCCCTGCCTTATTCCTCGTATCTTTGTTTCTGAACCAACCTTTTCTAGTGCTGCCTGATATCAATATCATCATCCTTATTTGTGTGGGGCACAACATTGACTCTTTCACTGGTCTCATATACTTTCGCTTTCACGTGATTGATTCTCAAAATCATCGCTCACCCTCCATGTGTATAATACTCTGTATGTGTGTATATTCATCAGTATGAAGTAAAAAATCTCAGAAATGAGTCATATTGAAAAAAAAAATTGCATTTCACGTTTTACTGATCCTAACTTGTTTTATTTCTAATATCAAACTAAACTAGTCTAATTTTCTCTATGTGCCAGGAGTGCTCGTACGAAGATGTGCCCTCACTGAGAATGGTGTGGCCTTTTGGGAAAGTCCAAGTTTTGCTCGTTGTGTGTCATACGAATATCGTAATCTGCAGCAAGACGTAAGTGCCAATTTCATTGTGATTTTTTGCAAGAATGACCAAAGCACTAATTGCTTTTGAGGCACTTTCATTCTGCTCGTGGGTATTTGATGACTAATGAACATGGGTTTTACATTTGCTGCAAATAAAATCTGTACCATGGTTGTGAGGAGTGTTTCGTTGTGCATGGCAGATTATGGAACATTTGTCCAAAGGCCACCGCATTCTAGCGGGAGAAGGGATGTCCCAGGTCACCAAAGATCTCCTGGATTTGTCCCAGCAGAAGAGGGGTTACAGCGGTGATCTTTTGGCCTCTGTGGAAATTCTGGCAAACGTGACGCAGACACTCAAGCGTGCCAACTACAACCCGTCTTCTGAGGACGTTCAGGTAAGTGTCACAAAGTGTCAGTCGCATTTACCAAAGCCTCGATTGTATCGTTTTGTGGAATCTACGTACTTATCTATCGCGTTTATTTTTAGAATGTGTTCGGCTGGTGTTCTTCGGTTCTCTGATGTGTTTTCGGTTGTACAATGAGTGTTGTTAAGCACGACGTTTGACGTTTCGCTGCACGTGCTGGGAGCTTTATGTGTATTGAATTGACAAAATCCCAGCGCATTGTGGAGAACCAAACACGCGTTACAATCACCAAACACATCACAGAGCAACACAAACACGAACACCTATGCAGGAAGTATTATTTTGGGGGAAAGCTCGGCCCTGTTAAGAGGCCATTTCAGGGAAATAGCCTCATAAAATCGAAGGATGTTTGATGCTGCTTCACATTAGCCAGATGCATTTGAAGAGGCAGGCTTACTCACAATTCGCTCCAGGTAAGGCCCATTGAACTAAGAAGCTATTTTCAATGGTGACTCATGCCAAAGTGGCCATCCTGTACATGGATAGCAGAGAACAAAATCAAGGAAATTGTAGATACAGGGATAACAAACAACCAGAACTACATACAGTGAAAATATAGGTTAGCAATCCCCAATAACATTATGCATGACACTAGTGAGAGGAACTCACATATGGTATTTACAGTGGCATTTAAACACAGCATGAATACAATTTAATTGTATGTTTTAGAGTAACTCGCACTCCCCGCACATTTCCATGGGACACACAACCAGGGCGGAGTGTGGATGGGGGGAGCCATGCCGTCAACACTAATGGCCCCAACAATTGATACGGTTGCAGGTTTTTTTTTCTGTATAAAAAGTACAAAGACAAAGATCCCCCATATAGCCTTAAAATACTATTGGGGCAAGTGCTATTAGCGAGTACCTATTAAGCACGGCACGACATACGAGGGGGTGGGTGGCCAGCACCACGCCCGGCCGCCTTTGTCTCTCTAGTGACTATATTTACACACTGTACCAGGTACTAATTTGAGGCTCAGTCGACCTTGGGGAGGCCCAGGACTCGTTCGTAAATTTGTCACTGATGTTGGTCGTGAGCGCGAATTGAACTCAGGTCACCGGGTTCATAGTGCAGCGTGCTAACCACTACACTTCAGCTCCTCACATGTATAAAGTACTCATGCACACACAGAGCCTCTTTATAAACATACTGCAATTATTAAAATGGAAAATTGTAACTTTTTCAAATAAGCTGAGTCGAGCATGAAACAATTATTGTTGATTTAAACATGAAATAATGCTATGGCTATATGTCCAATTTGTTTTTAACGATGTAATTGTTATACATATTATGTAAATTATATACATTATTCCGATTCTAGGCTATCACAATACTGTATGCTGAAATTCCAGGGTTCCAGCATTTTTTGATTTCCTGGAAATTAAAAGTATACTATAAAAAACACATTATTTTTACATTTCACATTAACTGACTCGTTATGTATGCAAATATTAATACGAAATGTTCAATGCAGTAGCAAGAAACTAATGGAAAATGCATAGGAGTGTTTAAAATGATATGACCCTTTCTTGGCATTGTATGAACTATAGATGGCACTGTGTAATTAGGTGTCTTATTGGCAGGAAAGTGTTTTAACCCAGACATTGTTATATCATACACTCTCATTGTATGATTCAAATATATGTAAGTGAACACCAAGTTAAGTTTAGGCAAACTGATTTTGAGTAAGGTGGAGGAAGAATGAATTAAATGTTTTCATCATCATGGGACCTCCTTTGCCAGTACCAAAATAGGAGAATAGGTTTTCCCCTTTTTTCTGGCAACAAAACAGCTGTGTTAAGATGTGAATACACCAAACTGAAACCTTTTACAAGGAATCATGTCAGCATTAACCACAATACTTGTGGTCAGAATGCAAAAAAAACCATCCTCTGATAATATTTGCATTGTCTTTGAAACTGATTGGTCCACACCAGATACAGCTTTCTTTTGAGCCTCGTCTCAAAACGGTGTTAGACCAGAGGATGCCAAAAAGAGGATGCCAAAAAGGTATCCTCTGGTCTAACACCGTTTTGAGACTGGTTTAGAACCTCCACTTTACCAACTAATACTGCCCAGCACAGTGAATTACGGTTACAAAAATAGCCTCCATGAGCAAAATGCAAAGGGTAGACGTTCATCTCGCAGTAAATTGGCAAAAATCGACAAATTATTATTGTATTACCGATATACATGAATACATTTGACATTGCAGTAACGATTTTTTGTTGTACCATTGAAACAATGGAGCAAGTTTCGTACATCTCTCCACCTCTGTCCACATAGTGGGGTGAATTGTGGGTACTTTCCCGTCTTTTAATGCGTCTATCTGATGTGGTAGAGTCAGATAGAGTAGCCTCCACAGGGACTTTCTAGAGCTTTCTGCAGCAGTGGCATGAGCAAAAAGTAGCACGGTTGTCCCTTTACCCAATCCTCCCTGCTCTTCCTAAAATGATCACATCCTTGAGTGATCATTACATTTATGATGCAACATATAAGCAGCCTTGCACATTTTCACGTAATGGAATTTGGCACACCTGACATCGGGGAAAAAAAAACCCAGGCCGACTCATTTTGTTCCACATCATGGAGTTTAAATAAAGCTTCGCCCTGGGACCACTGTAGCATTCATGTGATTCAGGAGCTGGTATACTAATGCTCAAATAACAAGCCAGGATTTTATTTTATCAATCGATGTGGATTCAGTTGTGGGAATAATTCCTGTATTCAGTATTAAAAGTGGTTAATACGTATTTTTTTAAACAAATGTATTAATATAAATGACTAATTTACACCAAACCTTGTAGTGGCATGAGTAATCTTCCATCTCTTTTTTTTACAATAATCAACATTTAATAATTACCATTCACATAGTAATGCGAGTTAATATTGAATTCAATGCAGCATTGCATTTACGGCACACCCTTTTGCAATATACGTGTATAGTTGCAGCGTGTGTGGATATAAAATGTGTATGTAAATGATAGAGAGTATAATGAATTAATGGGTTACTAACCGAGTGCATTAATTTAAAATACAGGACAGAACCTTACGTTTTTTTGACGGCCGATGCTCTCTCTGCAAATATTGGGAAAACAATGGTTATACAATTGCCTCCTGAACTTAATAATTATTAATAATAATTATTAATAATAATGATTAAGTGCATGATATAATTATAAATAATTATCAATATGAATAACAATTATACTACTACTAATTATTATTAAGTTATTATTGATAATTATTAAGTTCAGGGTATAATCAAAGAGCCCCAAGTTACTATTGCCATGAGTTATCCTGGAATATGTTATGAAATTAGTTACTGTATAGGTCAACATCTTGGGCGACCGGGGCAAGACATGCTGCATATGAAGGACGTTATCCAATACCAACCATTAGAGTTGTTTTATAAATATATAATATAATAATAATACATTTCAGAAGAATGGCAATGTATACATGTATCACTTTCCAGAACTTACAGTGCTTATATCCATTTACGTCGTTCCTTCCATGTGTGCGCCAGTTCAAGCTAGCACACATAATCTGCCCATTCTAGTGGGAGACAACCTTTTATATCTCACTACAGTAGCCTTGGTAAGTGCATTTTATTTGACCTCAATATAGCGTTCTCCAACTCATGGTTTGTGCCTGTGTTAGTGCAAGCCAGAAATTGGGTTTTTAACCATTATAGCACACAGCAGATGGATCGAAATGCAGTTTGAACGTCGTGCTGTAGTTTATTGTGATTACAAGGTTACATTTGTTGAGAGTCGCATTACGCCTGGCTTGCTATATACCGTATATATTATTCCTCCCTCCTTTTGAAATTCCCACTGTATTCCGGGTGCTTGAATAACAATCCAAAATGCTGACAAAAAAGGTGCAAATTTGATTTCGTTGATTGCGGGAGGAGCAATGGCACTGTGCGGCAATTACGATTAGCGCGGTTGGCTACGTACGGTGCGAAAGAAGTTCAACGTACACACGTGCATACACTGCGGCATCGGCACGACCACCACGTTTTTGCTTCCCCCATCGCGCTAGCCATCGCTGGGCGAGCGAGCCTGGTAACAAAAACGGTCCCAGATACGCGTCTCACCAACCCGCACTGACTATACTATCATGGTGAATTGCGGTTAAACCACCCACAAGACTGACACGGCAGTCGATTGACAAAGGGTTGTTCATTTTTTTCGTATTCGTTCTCGTAAAAGGTTCCTACGTAGAAATGTCACGTTTCATGGTGAACTGCGACGCATTCATGTTCTAGCAAGCCGCATTATTGTTTTACCTTGATTGAGCGTCAGCGTACAGATTGCACTGGAGAGCACGGGTTTTTTTCACGTGCAAATTTCTGTGGGCATGAGTCCTCTTAGGGTGCTTCTGTTGTTGTTTCATGGTTAGCACACTGGGCTTGCAATACAGAGCTCACCCGGTCAACCTCCCAGTGTGACAGTTGAAACAACAGGCAAGTAGCTTCAGCCTCCCTACCCCAGTCCACCAAACAGCATACATGGGTGGATCACAGTTGATCAGTTGGTCACATCTCGTGGGGTAAAGTGTGGGTATTCCCACCTCTTTCAAGTAGCCTGGCCAGCGTGAAAGGGCTGGTCAATCAGCTGTCTAGATCATTAGTACTCCTTTGCCAGTACCAAAATATAATACTAGGGTTTTTCACCTTTTTTCTGGCAACACAACTGAAACCTTTTTACGAGGATTCATGTCTGCATTAACCACAATACTTGCAGCTAGACAAAAAAGGGGAAAAAGAAAGAAAGCTGTCTCTGGTGTGGACCAATCAGTTTCAAGGACAATGCATATATTTGCAGTGTGTTGTTTGTTTGCATTTTGACTACAAGTATTGTGGTTAATGCAGACATGAATCCTCATAAAAGGTTTCAGTTTTGTTGCCAGAAAAAAGCCCTATTATTATTATTATAGCTCTCTAGAGTTCCCTCTTGTGGTGGCATGAGCAAGCAATTGCAGGGCTGCACCTTTATGTTTTGATTTTTTTCTGTCTCGGTGAGTGTCTCGAACTAGGCCAGGAGGTTTATAAGCCCCAGTGTAGTTAACTGGCAATAAAGAGTGTTTTATCTCAACAGGTAGGAATAATTTGTTTTGCAAGATAGACCTAGACAATGGTAGGTATGTAAGGACAGTGAATCAGTGATGCACTATCTTTGCATGGATGGATATGTCGTTTGAGACTTCCATTGGCCAATACCGTGAATAATCCATCACCTTAACATATATTCGTAATTAAAACATTCCGATTTAATTGTACCGTTCTACGTTTGCGTGATGTCAAAATATTTCTACGTTACACTTTCATATTACGCTGATGATTAAAAAAAACGACGTTTATTTATTTGCAGTGACCATGTGTTTCTTTGTGACAATTATTTTCAGAATTTTGTTCAAGTCGTCAGCAATTTATTATCTGAAGAGAACAAAGAGAAGTGGGATGATGCCCAACTGGTAAGCAACTCACATTTATGTTAAATTATATCTTATTCCATAAGTTAATACATTTAAAAAAAATTAGTATTATTCTGACTTTTAACAATTTTCATATGACTCACACCTTTTTTCAACACCTCCAACTTTATAATTCCGTGGAATAACTTGCAGAACAATTCTTTATATTATATTCGTGGTATATATATATGAGAATCTCAACATTATGCAATAATGTCATAATGAGATGGCAAGTTAAGAAAAATTATGTATGAAATAACCTTTCAATATTTCCATTCTGCAGATTTACCCTGCTTCCATTGCACTGATGAAAATTGTGGAAGATTTTATTCACGTCATGGGAAATGGAATTAAGAATGCCCAGACTTTTTATCTCGTCACAGAAAATTTAGGTAACGATCACTTCCCCATGGCTTTTAAAGTATATAGTTTTTTTTTTTAAATAAATGCGCCACATTTAAGGTCCGTGGGTTAATTGGTGGATTTTTTTCGTTCAAAGTTCCAGTTTTGGTTAATAAAAAAAGATTTACATTTGTAAAAACGGTATCCAGTTACAGTGGCGCAGGGCAGGGCACTCTAAAGCTGTGTTCGATTCCTGGCCCACGGTGTCGAGTGACATCTGAACTCGTCCCGGCTACCCCTTGCCCCTCCCCCTCCCTCCAGTGTGGGTGTGGGGGGGTGAAAAAAACAATTTCCATGACTGGCACGCCATCGCATGAGCTTCACTAATCAGGAGATTTATAAAGAAAGGGGCTGTTAATTAGTTTTGTTGTTATTATTAGTCTTGGTTCTTTCGGTAAAGTCACGTAGAAGGAAAATAATAAAATAAAATAAAAATTCTCACGACGTTTCGATTGCAACACACGCAATCATCATCAGGTGTGAAAACCGACACTTTTTTCAAATTTTCTTGCTGTGGGTTTCACACCTAATGATGATTGCTTGTGTTGCGATCGAAACGTCGTGAGAATTTTATTGTTTTATTTGTATTTTATTATCTCCCTTCTACGTGACTTTACGGAAAGAACCAAGAATATGAATCCCTGCAGTTACGAAAGCTTTAAATCGAAAGTTGTTATTATTGTTGAGCATTGGGGCTACAAGGCGGGCAGGAAGAAAGCACTGCAGCAAAATCTATTATTGTACTGTACTTATAAGCTCACCCCGTCTATAATATCTGCCTACACAAACCCCGGACTGACCAACGGTGATGAAGTATGGTCAACTAGCTGCCGTAGCCCACACAGCATGGGGAAGTCTCCAATCCAGCAGCGGACTGTTTGATGGTGAAATATATGTAGTGCAACGCTATCCATTTAAAGTGGAAGGCGTTTTCACATTTGCTCTGTCTGTCAATCCGTAACGGGGAGGCACTGTAACACCGGTCAAGATGGTCCAACGTCGAACAAACTTGCAGTCTAAAGTTGAGTTCAGTTTCGCGCTTATACTTTCTTTGAAGTGAAAAAATTAACAGACGTGTGTTCTCTTTAGTAATCAACATTTACAAGTTCTTGATCACGGAGGACAACACGGACATAATTTTTCCGATGAAAGGCAGGAATGGGATGGTGGAGTGGGCACGTAACTTGGAAGACAAAATGGTTGTGCCAAAGTATGTCATATCCTCTCTACCGTCAGGTAAGGGACCTTTAATTTAAGTCCGATATATTACGAGAAGCACAATGTCAAATCATTACTGTTTGCGCTTCGTGAATTTAGGGCATGGCACGTAAGTGATTAATTGAATTAAATCCGAATAAAAATGAGTTGTAAAAGTTAAGTATAGTCGAATGTATTGAGATATATATATAAAGTGAAAATATGACGACACAATGTATTATTTGAGTCTTTCGGTAAAGCCACTGTAGATAGAAACAATTATAAAAAATATCACGACGTTTCGATCGCAACACAATCAATTCACCTGATGACGATTGCTTGTGTTGCGATCGAAACCTCGTCATATTTTTTGTTTATTTTTCCATCTACGTGGCTTTACCGAAAGACCCAAAGAATATGAATTCCTGCAGTCACGAAAGCTTTAAGTCAAGACACCAAAGTAGTTTTATAAGCCTATATGATTGAGTACTCTTCATAAAAATTAATACTCTATTAAACACACCATGGTTCATTAATAAGTAGTGCAGCATTAATATGTAGTATCATGTATTGACCCTCCTGTCAGCTTACTAGTGATGAAGCTAACCAAAAGAATCTGTATTATGGACGATGCAGCTGTGCCAATTTCTGCCAAGGTTATCTTTCTTTAGCTAGTGCCACTGCTTCACTCAATCTCAATCGCTTCTCTTATAGATCTTTTACCACTCGCTCTATCGGACCTGGTTGTCTACCTTTCACCTACTCCTGATTTCTTCTGCTTCTGTGGCTCAGCACCTGGAAACAGCCTCCTGTCCCGGCTCATTCTTGTCACGTTTCTGAACCACTGTCATCTTCTTTTCTTTCCTTTTTCAAATCGGATAGTAGAATGGCCAAATGGGTAGGCTCTTTGTGCTTTTGAAACACTATAATTAGTTACGCAAAAAACAGATGTACCAATCTGCGCAAAGAAGGGAGTTTTTAATTAGTGCATATCACCTGATATGAAATATAGAATTTGAACATGAACATGGACAAAGAAAAAAGGAAGAAAAGCTTAAGTGTCCAACGGAGAATGGGGATTTCGATGCTTGAATTTACAATGAGAAACAGAGGGAGGAACTCATGGAATGTGAGAACAGGTTGAAGGCATCATCACATTTACTGTTAAGTAAGTGGGCATGAGCTGGTCACATCGCTCGATGGAATGATGGCCAATCGTGAAGGATAACGATGGACTGGCAGCCAAAGGGGGATGATTGATGATAGCAATATCAATGTGAGGGTTAAACATAAAGTCATCTTTGCATTGGTGAAACTTTTAACTCCATATCAGTTCTGAAAAGTTTTTAGTTCTTGGCACAGTGCTGTCTTAAAAAAAAAAATTAAGGATCAATGATTGAGAAGTGTTGAGTCTTGTGTGAATAAATTAAGATATATAATTACACCGAATCTAAATACGCATCATTTGAGCTGCAGCATTTTGAATTAACTTTTTTCATTGCCATTCCAGTCTATAAGAAAAGTTCCAATATGAATTAGACTTGTTAAAATATTTACAATTGATCAAGTACAAACGCATCAACCAGCTCTTTATGTTACCTGCTGTGCTACCTTTCTTTCTAAGATATGAGAATTACAGCTAATACATATCCTAATGCCAGGAATGAAAATCACTTTTACCATGCATTATTTTACGTTTCAAACCTGACATGTATAGCTGTGCCAGAGTATATATATATCCATATATTTAACATGCGTTTATATGTGCATATTTGAAACGTGCATCATGCATTCCTTCACATTTTTAAATGTAAATTATACAAGGACATCAAAGCATGTTTCGCTATGCAAACTGCAATCATTTGCATTTTTCACGTAAAATCTCTGCAGCATGCATTACGTTTTATTACCAGTCAAAGATGTCATTCTTTCTTGAAATGTCAGATCCGCAAGATGCATTGACAATTTTCATGACAGGATTTTGACTTAGCACGTTGCATATCATGCTTTTTTGTGTCACCTTGCTCGTAAACACTATGTCAAGGAGGTGTGTAGGTGCACTGTGAGTCACCCCACCAGAAATTGGATTAATCATCACAGTTTTGATTCGGCTTTCAAATATATTGGTATAATTTATACTTTCCAGTCTGTGCAGTTCTCTTTTTTTGTTTCCTCCGTTAGCCTTAATCTAATATGTGGAAAATGAAAGACACGCCACAGTATGACTGTGGCCATGCAACCCAAACTATGGACCTGTTTGTCGACCACCATAGTTTTTTTTCGTTCAATGGAGGAGGTCCTGAACACATGAGGCATTTTCAGGAATAGAAAATCATGCAATGTTTCCGCATAATGTACATTACATGCACATAAATAGTTAATAACTCGTTACTCACACACTGTGATTCGATGTTGTGTGAATCATTAGCACACGAGTCCAATTTAATTTGTGAACTGATGCATTGTTACATGGCTACGAGAGGTTATGGGATGTACTTAATTTATTTGGCTTGGGTGCTAGTCATGAAAATGATAGAATTTAGGTCAAAATAATCATCTAAAATGTTAACAATCGATTGTAAAATAGTTTCTTTAAATTTACTTAGAAAAGGGAGAATTTGCTGTTGTTGGAAACATTCTCTACAAGAACATCGGCCTGCTCCTTCCAATATCAAGGTGAGCCATGCACCCGCACACTCGGATGGTTTATGATGCTGCAGATATTAAAATCGTATTCATAAATCGATTTGAATTTGCCAGTGTAATCTTCCATTTCAAAGTATTGTTTTGCCGATACCAAATCCTTACATTTTTAATACTGATTTATTTTAGATGTATAGCAATTCGTTATACAGTTGATTAATTTAGTGCAATATTAATGCATTGGGTGGAATTGTGGTGCATTGGTTAAAGCACTGTGAACCCAGCCCGATAAGTTCGATCCTTGGCCATGGCTGTTATCGCTGCCGGGTGACATCTAAACCGATTGTTGGAAAGTAACGAGTTTCTCAACTCGCACTGACCAGCGTTGCAAAGTATGAACAAATTGCTCCTGTGACGAACACAGCATGGGGAAGGCTTCATCCAGCAGTGGATTGAGAGAAAGTTGCACATTATTATTCGGAATTAAAAAAAACATCTGTATTCTGCATATAAATGAGCTTTTTCATTGTTCTATATTATTTGAAAATATGGCATTCATGTTAACAGAACACATTTTAAGTCTGCCATAGTTAGAACTGTCATTAAATAGAAAAAAACCCTGTTTATTGGCTTTGTATGAAAGATCTGCTAACCTATATGAATAAAATACGATCTAAAATGTTACATGTGAAGACAGTTAAATTTCAGAGCCTCATTATTCACTGCTGGTTGAGTCGAGTTAGTACTAATGTAGTTAAGAATACTGAATATTGTATAAGCTAATATTTGCTGAGACATTTATTATTATGTGAAAACACACAGCAAACTTTACTTTCAGTTAAGAATTAATGTATAACTTAAAATTCATATCAGAATATAATGATAAAATTTTGACAGAGCACATTTTTAAACAGTGAAATAAGCTTTTTTTTTTAAATCACATTGGCATATCTTTAGAAAAATGAAGCTACACATTTAAATGTTCTTAATTTAACTGAGTATGCAATGCATCGGTGACATACTTGTCTATATTAAAATCTAGTCTCTCAGTATTATACTCTTGACATCAGGAATTAAATTATTTATCGCAATAGAATTGCAGATTCTGCTTGCCTTTGTAAAATAACACATGGTATCGCAATCCCTCATGTATTGTCGTTCTTCCCAAGACAGCTGACTTATTTATTCTTTGTCTCCAAGCACATGTGTAGCCTGATGCTATTACACTCACTGTATCGGGTGTCGATAAAGGTATCATCCATTATTAGATTAAAAATGATAGTTAAATTCTAGTTTTATGATAGGTCAATAAAACTATACACATATACAACTTGGTAGCGTGAGTTTAAGTTTATTTTGCTTAACCGCTTGAAAACTCAAGAGACCAAGTAATCTGTTGGTAATTCCTGAGAGATGTTTTTTTTCACGTAATTCCCATCCCTCTAACCCTCCAACATGCCCACCGTGGCGTTGGCGATGCGCGTCGCATGGACATTCAATAGAGTCCTTGTTGTCTGCCAACATTGTGGCTGTGATTTCTTCGAATGCACTCAATCTCTTTGCTTTCAAAGTGCTGGTCACATTTAAACCACTGTACATCCGTGTTGATAACGTCAAATTTCCGTTGTTTAGCAAGTGCACTGCGCCATCTCTCGATTGATACGCACATGCAAAAGAACAACAAAGTGCCGCGTTGTTCACACCTTTGCGCAGGAACTCGACGATTGTGAATTCCAAGGTGTTTGCCCTCACGATGCGACCCATGCCCAGTGCCATCGACGTTCCAATTGAGATCACGCTCTCGCACCTGAACAACGTGAGTACCCAGACAGATGTTGCATCGCAGCTTCGCCGAGTCGGAGTTGGCAATCTTGCGGTTCTATCAACGGTTGTTTCAGCCGAGGCTTACCCACAACGGTTGGTTGCATTTTGGACACGAAAATAAATACATTTTGAGCTGGGTTGCAGGAACGCTTGATGGTGGTGGTGGTTAGCGGTGATGATTAATACGGAGGTACTGTGACAGGGAGTGTTGCTGGGACTCTGGACACCTCTAATACGTTATAGATATGGTCTAAGCGACACCCACAGCCTTTGGGATAAAAAACAAAAAAGTCACGGTATTCTTTGGATTCTGCATTTTTTCCCTCTCTTCAAGAACGCCGAGACCAGTGCTGATTGCCGATGACGGAAACCTTGAAATTCGCAGTCATGCTCGTGTGGTGGGCTCGAAAACTGGCCCGGTAGCCAATGGTTGCGTAGATTTTAATGTATCACTGTAGATGACGAACTCCTACTATATTCGTGGTAGGGGCGTGGTGGGGGGGGGGACTTTTCTCATTCTTTCGAACCTGATGGTAATCTAACCAATAAGCATGGGGAACAAGTCACTGGGTAGAGCACCCTCAAATCTCATAAGTGCGGCAGTGGCTTCTGGCCAGCGTAATAATTTGCAGAAGGCTCACAGATAAAAGTTGCTTTGTTCATGTGTCTTTGCAGTCAACGACTGAATCGTTCTGCGTCTTTTGGAATTACACCCAAATGTAAGTATGCAACTTTTGCTTCATCTGTTGTGGACGTTGCGCAGGAAGGCAGCTCATTTGCATGGTTGCAAATGAAACCGGTCTCATTAGCATTCACGTCAGGGAAGTTGCTGCTTTCACTGACTTACATCCCTCTCTCTGGCTGTTGACACCTCCAGATGGCAGTGAATACTAAGTTTTCTTTGACTGCCACTAATGGCGGTTGATGTTAAATAACACGGCGCATTGTGCGTCGATTATTTGATAATGTGCGTGTTTTTTTTGTAAAGACCAGTGTTGGTATGGTGAATCTGTTGCGACGTCTCCAATAAGGCATCACCCACTGCGCATTTACCGTGCCGTCTTCACGATCGTTTTGCAGGGAATACATTACGAACGGCTTCTATAGCAATTGTTACGTGAAAACCTTTTTGTACGTACTATGTTGAACTTCTTTCACACCGTACGTAGCCAACCGTGCTAATCGGAGGTGTGAACGTACCATCATTATATAAAATATAATCACATGAACTTCAGTAACATAATACTGTACGTTACATGAGATACGTACGGAACTCCAGGCTAGACTATCATATTCAACTGCAGTGTAGTCTTTGACCATTAAACGTAGTACGTCACTGTAAAGGCACAGATGTCCAGTTGAAATGAGTTTCAAAAAACAGTCTACTTCGTGTAGCTTGCAAAGCTGTTGGCATGAGCATCACCAGCATTTCCACCAAATCCGTCTCTCATCACGCATGTCAATTAATCTCCTGTCATTATGCTCCCATTAACATTTATTCAGTGCAATAAGAATATAACCCCATGCAGATCGCTGTACATTTACATTATGAATATCATAGGTTCCAATTGGTATTATGAATATCATTTGCTGAAATGTATTTCGCTGGTGATCTCAGACAATAGGACCACAATGCACTGTTGAGGAAATGCCGATGGAACTTTTTTGTTTTAGCATTTTGCACAATGTCCGTGTCTTGTTTGAAACCTTTGGCTCAGTTGTTTAGGGAATAACAACGTGCCCCAGTGCACCTGTTGCATGATGTATTGTCTCCTGTCAGGGTGAGACCCCGTGTAGTCCGAGCGAGTCTAAAATGTAGCCTCCGGTAAAGGCTCCACATTTCCATCTTCGGTAGAGAGCAGGCATGCAACCCATTCTGAAAGTGTGACAAAGTGTCACAATTTACTGAACGGGATTCGATTCAAGAGCTTAATCTTTTTTTTAATATCAATTTTACCACCTCATTTGTATTGTGTTTTTTTCCTATCTGTACATTATTTTGCTCCATTATCCTGAATGTGACATTAACATATGCCGTTGCCTGTAATTTCCCGATGAGACGAAAAATAATCGATTCCGAAATAAGTTATTTGTTGCATGCGTCAATGTTAATTGATTGTTCAATGTTTCATCGCATGCCCTCTGAAGAGGATAGCCCCACGGGATATTTTTGTTACGATTGTCACATCATCACCATTCAGAACCTATGGGTAAAATAATATGAGTGGGATTAACAATCTGCAGTGACACTGCAACAAAAAAAACCCCACTGCGTTCATAAACACTGCCCAAAGCAAAGTAGTAGTTGTAGTAAACTCATTGTCTGTTTACACACCGCAGACTCTGAATACTAATCTTGAGTGACTTCATTGTGTTGTTCTGTTTTTTTCCCGGAGGGGAATTTTCTTTTTAATATTAACGCAGTACGACTGCTGGGAACATTCCTGGGACAGTCCGCTCTGTACGTTGGCGTGAATCGCAATCACAAGTGAAACAATTTTAATTGCTAATCATTTGCGCAATTCGAATTTGACATGCTCTATAAAAAAAGCCACATACACTATGAGTGGAATGCATGAACAGGGGGGAGGGGCATATACTAACCCAGGATGGAGCGCAATCAACAAACTTTAAACACAAGTGTTTGACGATCCGCTTCCATTTACCCGTTACCCGCATTTATTTACTTAGACAAGTAATCTAGAAGGGTGACTAAACGCTTTAAGCAGAGGTGGGGGGGATGGAGGTCTGCCCTTGCACCCCTCCCTCCCCCCGCAAACACTACAGAGCTGATAGTCCCATACTCTGTAGTACTTAAAAACAATAGTACATCAGGCGTCTTGGCATTTAGCGCAGAGTGCCGCTGGAAAGTGGGGAAAGGAGTGGTGGAGGAAGGGGGGGGTGTAGCAGCCTCCTCGGCTTTTTTTGTCAATTCCCTTCGCCCCGACGATTTGTATTCACGGCAGGGCCATCATTTTCATACTCGGCGGCTCTGCGAGCAAAGGGGGAGGGTGGCCGTGGTGGTGGTGTGGGTGCAAGAACGCAAGAGGCACGACCGGCCGCTCAGCGAAAGTCACTTAGCTGACAACCCACCACGCGGTTTAAACCCCACGTTCTTGTACAGGGGAATTGGTTTTCAGGTCCATACGGCGTTTCCATACGGGCACATTTTTTTGTCTATTTGGTTGCGTTTCTCCCTTGTGATGGGACTTTGTAGGGTGAACGTTGATATGTATAAGGGACACGGGGTGACCAATAGGATCTGAATTGGTCTACAATAAGGATAGGCATTGATAAGTGGTTGACAGGTATGTAGTGGCGAGTATACTAGTGAGTGTACTAGTTGGTGAGTGTAGTGGTGGTAATTGTCTATTAGTTTCTGCTTCTCCCTTGTGATGGGACTTTGTAGGATCAACTTTGAGAATTATAAGGGGCACGGGGTGACCAATAAGGTCTGAATTGGTCTGTAATAAGGTAGGGCACTGATAAGGGGTTGACAGGTATGCAGTCGTCTTCGGGCTGGGAGACGGGGTGTCAAGGTTTGTTCGGGAATTCCTGTTTTTGTTACCGTTACGCGAAATGCTAAATGTACATTTGGCGGTAACAAGCTTGCAGGCAGGGCGGCACTTGTGGGCACGCTCGTGTTTAATTGTCTTAATGGACGTGTGCCGGTTATTTCTTTTTGTGCTATTAACTCGCTCAAAATACGATTGGTAATTGCCGAGTGCGGCGCGATTCAATTTGGCCGGCAAAGGGAGAAAGAAGATGACTGAAGACCTTTTGTCTCACGTGCTCGGAGAATAATCTGAGCCGTAAATAACCGCACACACACCAGCGGTGCGTTGCAGGGCTGTCGCGAAGCCACTGTTTAGCCCACGTGTGTAATTGTTGCAGATGTCACTTTAGCATGGTAAATAGTCGTTTAATTTGCCATCCAATTGCAATTAAACGGTTGTGGAAGAGCGGTATAATAGTTGTTGTGCGAGCATATTTAGCGTGACCAACTGGAACCGTTGCATATGTCGTGTGCAGAGGATGTGCTTAAGAACAGGTTGTGATGAGATGTTAACAACCTCGCCTGGTTATATAGGATGTCGTGGATTCGATCCCGACCCTGACGCCTGTTGTGTATTTGGAGTGTGCGTGTTCTCCCCGTGGTTGCGTCGTTTTTTTTCTTTTTCTCCGGGTCCTGCGTTTTTTTCCCTCCACATTTTAGAAACGTGCATTTAGAGTATTTGGCTGCTATACATTTCCACACGAGGAGCCGCTTCATTGAGCTATCATTTGTGGCCAGGTAACTTCTGAAAAAGATTTATATAGCTCACTGGGTCTTACCTTATTAAAATAATCAATAGTTTGGCTTAGTTATATATTAACATCCACGTGAGATATATGCGAATGTAATAGCAGACATGACTCTAAATGGCAACAAACTGATTATACAAATTAAACTATGATCATGTAGTTACTATTTTACTCCTTATAAATAACATATGTTGACATGTAATCTCTATCAGAGTCACGTGATACTTGAGATTTATTTTCTGGCTAACTTTTATTTAATTTTTATTGGTCAAAACATAAAGTTTTTTTTTTTCAATGCACGGTAACTAAGTCGGCGCGAATATATTCATAACACCGCGTCTACATTGTGCCCAAGCTTGGCCATTTCAAAGCACCATTTATTGTACATATGTGGTTGGTCACCAGGGATAGCGCACGGAATCTAGGGCATTAATTTCATTATCAAAAAATCACTCATCCGTTCCCGTTCCACCCCATTGCACTTTTGCTCAGAGCGGCTTTCATCTCGTATCATTTGGCGGCTCGTTGCTGCACTCCACATGTACCAAGCCTCTCTCTCTTTTTTTTAGCCTTGGCTGCGCCTGTGTTTGCGACACGTGCGTGCGTGCGCGCGCGCGCGCGCGTGTGTGCCCGCCGATGCAATGAGTGTGAATCGTTCACGCGCGTCCAAAATTGTACGCGTCTGTCGCTGATGTGCGCGCTGTGCGCCCGTAAGGCACGGACGTGCGGAGGGCTGGTTGGGACAGCCATGCGCCACCGTGCTCGGAGATTCCTGGCAGACCAGATGCCTCTGTAAAGGCTTCTCCGCCTTCGCCATTTTGTCTCCCTATCCACTGCCTCAAGAGGTAAGTGCAGAGGCTCCGATGCAATGCATTAAACATTGCGCCCTCCACTCTTTTTTTTTCTATTAAACACGCAATTCCAGATCGCATGCAAATGGTTAAAATGCGGAGCATACCGTTGGCTGTTCCAAAAATAATATTTTTGCAAGAAAAAAATGACAAAGATTTGTGGTTTATCTTGACAGTAATCTTCCGGCGTGCTAAATCAGTAGCAAATCTGAACTGTAAACAGACGGCTGATGGATGTAAATATATTCACGGAGCCTGTTTAATATCTCTTGGTGTTTTGTCTGCCGTTAGTTATGTTCTGTATGCATAATACATTTATTTAAATCGTGGGGCTCGGTTTTATTGAGGTGTTTGATGAAATGTTTTTTTGTTAGGTTTCCCGTAATAACGTTTGGGATTTTTTTTTTGTCTGTCCATTACAATGCGATGTGTTTTTTTTTACTTTCGCGGATGCACCCTAATTAATTTTGAGATGATGGGAATTGGAAGCTGTGCAGAGACGTCTCTGCGTGGGGTCATGTTTCTTCAGCATAGTGCAGTTCGAGCACAACGCATTTTACCGGCTTAGCATTTGCTGTGTGATAGTGTCTACAAATGCCGACATTGTAAGCAATGGGTAATGTGCACGAATTTTATTAACTCAAATACACCTGTATTAAATTGCTGTTTTGCGTAATAATTTACGTTGTGTGTTTTTTGTATTTTAATATTAGTTGTTTAAAAAAGAGCCAGAGAGATAGGGAAAAAAACTCAGGTTCGAGTGCCACTTGTTATTTTAATACGGCAAAGCGAAAAAAGGGTGGGTAAAATGCAATCTGATGAATAAGCGAAAGGGGCAATTGCCTGCTGGTAATTCAAACTGGACTCCCACATGCAAGTGCCCCAGTGTTTCCTGGGAGTGGTCGATAAAGCTTTGATCTTTGCACGGAAGAGGGCCCGCTTAGTGATCCCCACAGAACTGGCCGCTCATCTCTAAATTAAGTACTATTCCTTCACAGTTACCCCCAGGTCATCACAAAAAAAGCCCCTCCAATGCAACAATTATTTTAATCTTGTTCTGCCAATTTGACTGCCAAAGCAATTTGGATGGATGCTTTTTTTTTCAAAAGAAAAATAAAGAAAGCATTGGGCAGTGAATGTTATTTTAGGCAACAAATATACAAAGGAACCTAATAAAATGTAGGGGATATTTGACAATGTTTGCTCTTCTTGCTGCGTTGCCGGCGCTGTGATGTTTTACGTACAAATGTGGCAATAAGGAATAACAGCCAAAGTAACTAACAAGCACTGCTGATATATACAATGTTGCTGGTTATGTTTGCTTACACATTTATCTTCAGTATAATAAAAAAATGACATTTGGTTTGTTCGTAAAACTAAAGAATGAACTCCTTACGTAAAACGCAAGATGTTTTGCAGCGGTACCTATAATCTCCCCTTGAACATCATACGCATCGCCAATTAATTGTTCACAACATTTTAGAAAATTATTATTTTATTCCAGTTTGCGGTTATGTTCTTCCTCCCGATCCCCTCCAAAAAATCGTCTGTGGTCTCTTCTCATCTGCCGAGGGCAGGAAAGCCATTAAGACATTGCCCACAGTGGCTTTACACCTCCCACAGGCCCACACGTTATTGCCCTGTGTCAGATTAAAGCCCCAGAATCTTTTCCACTCTGCAGCATTATTTTTCCAATTGCATTCTCTTCACGCGATACATTACTGCCAACAAGAACATGATGCTTGCACATTTAGCACCAGAGATTCTGTCAAGCGGACAGTTTGACAGGTCATCTCAACACTGTGCTACATTCGCGAAATCGCATGGCGTACTTAATTTTTTTAAAGTTGGTCGAATGAAAGTGTTGGGGAATTTGTATGCGCCGGAGATAAGTTTCAGATTTAAACGTTTCAGAAATAGATTTCGATTTTCTAGGACAATTTTTTTATCATTTTATGGATTTTCTGATCATTTATATTTTGTAATAATGTCACGCTTCTTCATATGAGGAATCATGGCATCGCCCGATGCCACCGTGCCCCCCCATTTTTGGCTGGGAAAAGTACAGAAGTGATGTAACATTAGTGAGGTAGATTTGAAGTTTTCGTGACTGCAAGGGTCCAAACTCTTTGTTTTTTTCGGTAAAGTCACGTAGGTAAAAAATAAAATAAAAATAAATTAAATCACGACGTTTCGAAGGCAACACAAGCTTTCGTCTTCAGGTGGCACCGTCACAGCAAAATTATTGTATCAAGGTGTGTTGCCTCCGAAACGTCGTGATTTAATTTATTTTATTATTTACCTACGTGACTTTACCGAAAAAAACAAAAGTATTAGTGAGGTAGTTTCCTGTGAAGTCAAACTTTCGGGAAAACATTTTTTTTGTCTCGATCATCCATAATTTCAAGTCTACTCTTGAGTGTAAGATTTGGCCGATTAATCAAAAAATTAGAAACACATCCTTATACATATATACATACCCCTTGGCCACATGCCGAAATTATTACTCATCGTAGTTAGTTTGTAATTGTGATTACCATCTTAATTGTGGTACATTTTTCGTGGTAAATCGTGTATGATTGTGTTTGTATGTATGTTGAACATCTTTGGCACCGTATGTAGCCAGCAGTGGCAATCGGAGGTGTGGACCGTGCTAATGAAAATAGAAATTCAGTTAAATATCGTAGGAACTAGAAATATATATCATATGCATCGCATTGATTCTTTTTTCGAGTGCAGTGAAACGTGCTGCACGATATGTACGCATGCGTTCAGTTCAAACGTCTCGTTTTTTGCAGCCAAAGATGGACATTGCAGAGGCGTCGTCATTTCCCCTCGTCATTGGATGTGGCGTCTCTTCTCTCGCGCTTGTCTGCTTAATGATCATGTACTGCATCTTTTGGAGGTAGGCTTTTCACGTTTATTTAAAACAAATTAGTCGTGACCCTCTCAAACCCCCTCCCAGGATCCTTCTGAATGACTCTTGACATTCAGTGCAGATTTTAATTAGTAAATTGAAGAATGTGTGGGGTTTTTTTTTGTCCTTCTCACTATTGTATATTTTCTTGAGATGCACTTGATTTAGATGCTTTTTTTTATTCAAGTTGCTCATGTTCATAATTTGCGACCCAAGATTTGTTTTGTTGACGCAAATTTGTTCCAATAACATAAATAGCTTTTCCTTCTGTTTTTGCAGGTCAATCAAATCAGAAAGATCTGTTATTTTGATCAACTTCTGTGTTTCCATCATCTTATCCAACTCCCTCATTGTGGCAGGACAAGCACAGCTCAATAATAAGGTTTGAAATGTTTTTATAACAAACAAAACATGGCACGATATTTTACCGGACTTTTTGCAATCACTGACAATTTAACATGTTTGCGAAATGCAAAAATATAAGCAGTAAATCATTAAAGATGTGCAAATAGCATGATAAGCTAATGCTTAATTCCTGCATTGACACCATACCAGTGCTCTTTTAGCTTTATATACACACACAACTAATTTCTGTCTCCCCATATCAATACAAATTGTCAATTTACATATTGGCTTTGCTAATCTATATTAATGAATAATATTGGTCTATTGGCTTTTGAGAATAATGCTATTGGATCATATTTTTCTGAAAAGCCAATAAACTAAAACATTTGTATTAACATGTACAGATATACAATGACGTTATGCTGATATTTGATTTTACCCATAATGCTCCACGATAATGCATGAGTATATAAAATAGCACTTGTTTTTCCTTGATCAGGGCCCAATATCTTGGATAAGGAGCTCATGCCTGGCACAGTAGCAACTTTGATCAAACATGGCCGACTACTGATGAGACCCAGAAGGTCAAAACTGGTCCAGAGTTTGCTTGCTTAAACAAATGGTGCTGAATAATATTGGTATGGAAACCCATAATGCCAATGGATTAAAACATTTGTTTTGCTATGTGGAGACACATTATAGGATCCTGCTTGCATATGCTCTTGCTCAAAAGTTTCCAGAAAAACGCGTTATGTGTTTTGTATTCTTTAACGGCAGGCCTTCTGCACAGCGATCGCTGCTTTCCTCCATTTCTTCTTTTTGGCGTCCTTCTGCTGGGTTCTGACCGAGGCCTGGCAGTCCTACCTTGCCGTCACAGGGCAGCAGCGCAGCAAGATCGTCCGCAAGCGGTTCCTCTGCCTCGGATGGGGTCAGTGACCGACTTGTGATACGTGCCGTGCATTGCAAACACACGTTGCTGTACGGGCCGAGCCTTTGTGGGTTAAATAAACCCGTTATCAGGCGGGAACCTTTAAATGTTTCTTGCAAACCAGTGCTTACATACCCAATGACCTTTGCGAGCGGTGACACGGCTGAGCGGCAATGCCTTTGCCGCTTGTTGCGAAGGTTTTGTGGTTTTATTCCGGCAGGCATCCTTTGCGTACTTGCTGTAAATGTTACGTGCTGTCCGCTTCACAGTGACCGTTCGAGGTCATGTGATATCATTCGAAAGGGTCAGGCTATTGAGTTCTGGCAATCGTGGTCCAAATTTTCTAAATTTGAAGCATTACCTGCCAAGTACTCAATTGGGGTTATACATCGTGGAGACGTCGCTGTGAAACTACTGCGGACTGCGTCTGTGAAACTACTGCGGACTGCGTCTGTGAAACTACTGCGGACTGCGTCTGTGAAACTACTGCGGACTGCGTCTGTGAAACTACTGCGGACTGCGTCTGTGAAACTACTGCGGACTGCGTCTGTAAAACGCGGCACTTGCCATGTGCAGGGTAAAGAGAGAGCCACTTGAAACATTATCGTGAGGAACAAGTCTTTAACAAAACTCAACAACGTAAAACCGTATTCCAACTCGCCATATGTGTATGCGTGCATACAACGTGTATATATTGTTTGAATCAATCTTCGTAGAGCACACGCTAACAGTTGTTTTAAATTTATGCACAGGTCTTCCTGCTCTTATCGTTGCTATTTCTGTTGGCTTCACGAAGACAAAGGGATATGGGACCATTCAGTAGTAAGTAGTCGTTACAATTATTTGGTCACGGTGACATTAGAACATTTAAAAGCCTCATAATTCCCGCTTGTGTTGTCAGTTAAAATCATTTCACAATGAGCCCATTCTAGTTGGCATCTCAAACATAAGTTGCATGCATCTGTGAAGTTTGTAGTGGTATAGCCATAGGACAGCAAGGTCTGGCAATTAATTTAATTACGATGCTGCTGATGCATATGTAGAGTAAATGAAAGGGGCGAATTAATGTCGCACTATCTTAACATCTTGACATGTCATGTTTAGCATCTCAGGATCAAGCTTCTGTTAGAGAAAGTGTTTTTTTGTGCTCCCTCTTATTCGTGTTTGTAGTCCAATTAGAAGAATAAATAACACGCCCGAGATTATACAAACATTTGTTTGAGTAGTTGGACACATCCGAATTAATTAAACTGCATAGAGATTATTTGACCTTTTTTCCCCTCCGCCCAAACAGTAAATAGTGGAGCCTGTCACGTCTTGCACTTTCATGCTAATGTTGTTTATTTTAAATCAGAGCTGCCTCTTGTAACCGAGTTGTAAATGCAGTGGGCGTACTCTCTCCTCAAACGGGCAGTGGCAGGGCCCCTGTAATGTATTTTTATTGTGCCCTCCACCACTGAACATGTTTACAAATTGAATACTCAGCCGTATGTGTGTGCGATTTCCTGTTTCCCAATTCATATCTCAAATGAAAATAATGATATATACGCAACAGTGTTACCCACGCATTAGCTCTGTCTGTCCGTTGCATGATATCATGATAGTATAAAGGTGTGTAGATATTAAGGGCTTATCTTAGAGAAAGCTAGCCAACTTGATTCATAGCGTTGCCCAAAACTTGAAGACCCAAAGCAGAGCAAAATATGCTATTTGCAAATATGCAATTGCTTTTTGCCTTAAAAGCTAGCAATCAGCTTCTGTACCGATAATTATGAAACACTTTGTAGGACTGAACACATGATGGAAAGCGTTACAAAAATCAATGCGTGTGCGTGATTTTTCCCCAAATTCGTTGTTTTTCAGTTGCTGGCTGTCGCTCGATGGAGGGCTCCTCTACGCCTTTGTTGGCCCTGCTGCGGGGGTGGTATTGGTAGGTCTATAATACATAAAACATGTAAATGGGTAGGTCTATAATAATAAATACAAATTGGTAGTTCTCAAATAAAATAAATAGGCCTACAACATTCGCTTATTTGTGCCATATGCTGTAGAATTATATCCCCGTTCTAATGGATTAATATCAATAATGGTGTTCCCGAATTGATTTAGGGAGTATGACATTTCATTCATGCATTGATTTTGGAGGAAAAAATAACAGAACCCCATTTTGATAATCCAAATTTTTTTTTTGTCTTACACTAATCGGACACATATTGAAAAATGTCTCCTGTGATTGAAATCCAAATCCATCTCAACCAGTTTGGCATGCAATTGGCCGCCTTAATTTAAGATATTTGGAAGGCGGGCTTGAATTAAATGAAAGTGCAAGTTCACTGCCAAACCACCTGGGTGTCGTTTCTTTTGGCGTACACTTGTTTGTACTGGCAATGCGACTGACGCGTTTGTCCAGATACATCTGTTTGTGCTGGCAATGCAACTAATGCGTTTCTCCAGACACTGACCAAGCCTGTGAATTCTTGGCCTGCACTCGCAAATTTTATGGAGGATTAATTCCCAATAATGATCTGCATTGACAGTAACCGCACTAATGTGTTAAGCATTTCAAAAAAATAAATCACATTGTATTTCATTTGCATGGGCAATACATGCCATGACGACGCTTTACAATGACGTGAATAGTGTAGTCATGTCTAAAAGTAAATAAAAAAATAATAGATCACGACGTTTCGATCCCAACACAAGCAATCGTCTTCAGGTGAGAGAGAGAGAGAAAGCTTATATAGGCCTGAGATGGGTGCATCAAGGTAGGTGGGTGGAGCTAGAGATGGTCCAACCAACGGAGGCTGGGGCAGTGGCCTTTGTATTGTGAGAAATTAGCCTGTCCTGAGATGGGTGCATCAAGGTAGGTGGGTGGAGCTAGAGATGGTCCAACCACAGAGGCTGGGGCAGTGGACACCCAGCCTGTCAATACAAAGACATACAACCTAGTAATGAAAGAGTCAGTTAACATCTCTCTCACCTGAAGACGATTGCTTGTGTTGCGATCGAAACGTCGTGATCTATTATTTTTTATTCACGTGACTCGACCGAAAGACCCTAGAGTATGAATTCCTGCAGTCACGAAAGCTTTAAGATTTAATGTCTAAAAGTATTCATGTATAAGGTCCCTTGTAAAATCTCTGTGCTAGAAGCAGAATATACGCACGTGTATAAAAAATGCAATATATCTCGTATAACTGAATCTACATTCACTTAGATAGTATTACATTTTGCCTTAATTTTATTTTCTTGTAATTCTACTGAGATGTTACAAAGGGTGTGTATTGAAGATGGCACAAAATGTGACAGTAATTTGACGTATGAAATCCATTCATTCTTCACTTCTAGTAAGGGTTTCTTTATTTCTTGAGAAAAAAAGAGGATTCAGACATCCCTCTTTCACTGATGCTCACGCTAATGTTTCATATTAGAAAGCCACAGGAGCTACATTGAAAACTAATTTCTTTTCAAACTCATTTTTTCGTTTAGTTTGTTGTCCTTCCCCCGCAACACCGATTAGCATGGTTGGCTTCGTGCGGCGGGGAAGAGGTTCAACATGCGTACATTTAACAGCAATATGAAGGATGCTGCCTTGGCGTCATTGTTAGCAGACTGGACTTGCAATGCAATGGTTGGGCTGCTTGATTTGATCTTTGGGCACGGTGATTGAAACAATGGTGCATGTTTCTTAAACCATCGGACCTCTTATCCACCCAGCATAACAAATTGATGCACCACAATTTGGCGGGTTGCGTGTGGTGGATGTCTGGATGGCATGGAAAGTAGACCAAATATCCTCTAGAGAGGCTCTCCAGAGCTCCCACTAGTGGAGGCCCTCCACCAGCAGTGGTTGGCTACGTCCGGTGCAAAAGAAGTTCAGCATACATACGATTATAGGGAATGTACCTTTACCATAAAATCAAATACATTTGAAAGATAGAGTGTCTTTACTGTGTCACGATAAAGTAAAACAATAAAAAAGAGGTGCGTGAGTGGGCAACATTGACTTCAGCAAAATGACAACTCAAAAATCTGTCGACGGGAGAGAAAAAAAAAAGAGCAGCCGTGTTCGTGATTGAGTTGCAATGAATAAGCACATTTCATAAGCAAATGCCCACTGAGCGAACAGCTGGGATCACTTGCTGGCTTGGTAATAATATATGGGAGCAATTTAAGGGCTTTTCCATCAGGAGCTGTCACTCTGCAAGCCGCTTAACTACGGGCGGCTGAGGTTAATCACATCACTGCTAATGGTCGTTTGTACATAATTTGCTGAAAGTTCGTTTAGAGCAGCATACCCTTAATTGCTTGGGTTCCGATGCCTGTCATTCTGTTTGGACGGGAGCAATGACAACCATCATTTAACGCTTAACCAGATTTAACCATTGGTTTAAAAATAAGCCGATTAAATGCCCGTGTGTATATATTTTGCTTTTGATATCAGTTACATTATGTAACTGAAATACAGTGCTGTGGTATGAGTATGTGCTCTTCCAGCATTCATGAATAATCATTATCACTGCTCTAATATATTTCTCAAACGATATTAATTTACACATAGTATCAGATTTTTGTTGTCCAAATGTTTTGAGATGTAAGTTGTTTGCAATGGATTAAGTAGTTAATGTCTCGCCATAGGTGGCGAGACGTTACTATCTCTCCTGTTATACAGGAGCAGTTAAACCAATGCGTAAGTTTCTTCACTATTTTCGTCTCTATCCGCTCAGCCATATAAATGAGTACAAACACAGTTAGTCGATGGGCAGGTCACGTGTCGTGAGATAAGCTCCCACCTCTTCCAATACGTCTTGCCAGTATGTAAACATTTGTGAAATATCCTTTAGAGGTGCTGTCTGCAGCTCCCTCTAGTGGAGGCCCTTCTGCCAGTAGTGGTGTGAGCCAATAATTGTACGGTTGCACCATTACCTTTATTGGGAGAGTAGAGGGTTTCGGGTATGTATGTGGAATTTTTTCAGTATTTCTGTATTCTTTGTGGGGAAAAATTTAAATCTTGTAACTTTGGTTATGGCTATAATTATGAATCCAGTGGGGAATAATAATAATAATTCTAGATTTGAAGCTTTCGTGACTGCAAGTCACAGTAAAAAATGTTTTTTAATTAATAAAAGTAATAATGAAAATAAAATAATAAATCACAACGTTTCGGAGGCAACACAAGTCTCCGTCATCAGGTGGGACCGTCACAGCTAGATTTACTGTATCAGAAAATTAGTATCAGAAAATCAGTAAATCTAGCTGTGACAGTCCCACCTGATGACGGAGACTTGTGTTGCCTCCGAAACGTCGTGATTTATAACTTTTATTAATTTTATTTTTACCTACGTGACTTTACCGAAAAAACCTAATAATAATAGTTCACAACACTGTTGGATGAAGTCATGTGGATTGTTTGAACCCACTCGATACGCTGCTCAGTGCAAGTCCGTGAAAGGGGGTGTATAGGATCGGTTTCGTCGTCACCCACCACTCAAATTATCCGTGACCGGATGTCGAACTCATGTTGCTAGGTTCAGAGCGCAGCTTGCTAACGACTCCACCACCACCACCACTCTCAAATCCCCCCCAAAAGTGGTTTTAGTAACTGAAATACTTTTACTTCATGAAATTGGTCTCGATGAGTAAATGTTAATTGGTGAGGCAATTGCTGGTCTGTGTTACTGTGGGGTACGTCTGGTGACGGAAAAAAAAACACGCGAAGAGTCGATCCAAAGGAATAATTTACGTGAAAACATTGTACTGCTTTCTCAACCAATCTAATTGTTACGGTCAGAAACACAATTGCATGAAAATGTTTTTTTTAAATACATCATGTAGGTGAGACCTGTTTTGGCATTTTCTTATAAAGTATTAAAACACTTGCTAAAGGTCAGAATATTGCACGCCGCATGGATAAGAATAGATGTTGAATGATTACGGGTTGAACGGTATATTATGAATTATCCATTACATTGATTGACAAGATGTGTGTGTGTGTTGTCTTTGTGTTTTTTAGGTTAATATGGCCATCTGTATTCTGGTGTTCAACAAATTAGTTTCCAAGGAGGGTATTCCAGACAAGAAGTTGAAGCACACAGCTAGGTAGGGGAGTATTGAAAGACAAGAGATGTGTTATTTTTGTACTGAAATATATATTTTAAAAACAATAATAGTGGATGTTAAGTTTTCAAGTATTTTATTATTTATTCTCATGATTACGACGTAAAAAAAAATAACGTGATTCAATTTTCACATGGTTTTTTGTGTTTTTTGGTTGTTTTGTACGTTTTAAGTTTCTTAATCCCGTTCTTTATAATTTAGGAAAAGTGACGCGCGATGCTATAATTGCGGTTTTGGTTGCACGTCTTTCTTCTTTGCATTGCTTGTGTTGGTTTTTTAGGCTCCAACCATTTTGCTTTTGGTTTCTTCTTCACTTTTGTTTGCAGTCAGATGGCACTTCCACATAACGGTATGAAGGTCAAATGTTCCAAGTGTGGAGTTGTATCAGGAAGCTCGTTATCAGCCTCAACTGCCAGTAATGCCATGTTAGTCTTTTTTTGCACACGACAGCTATCACAGTGCATGCACAGCACCGCCTGACAGTTCTGGGAGGGGAAAGCGAAGGTTGTAACCAGTCCAAAAAAATGTGAACGACATCCCTCCTGCATGGTCACCGCATCACAAGTGCACAGCTCCAAAGAGGGCTGTTATGAATTTCGCGATCGTGCCGCGCGAATTATCCAGGCTGTTAATAACGCCCGCTACTGTTTCCAGTTTTCGCTTTCCTTCTGAACCTATTACTGCAGTGTACACTTAATGACATAGTACAAATATTCAATATTTCTGTTTATATATAGAAAAATGAAATTCATAATTTTGCACAACGTACACATATTTTTCTGTAATTGAACGACTAACAAATAAAAACACGTTAACATTTTTTAAATGTCATGCCGCAGCTGTAAACACGCTTACCAACAGAATCGGGTGTAAATGTCTCATTTTCTGCCCAACCACTGCCCCCACCCAACCACCCCTTCCCCCCTGAACCCCCCCCCGCACCCTGATGATGCCCCCTCTGCCTGGCTTGGTGGTGGCATGCAGGGCCTCCCTGTGGAGCTCGTGTGTCGTGCTGCCCCTCCTCGCCCTCACTTGGATGTCTGCCGTGCTCGCCATCACCGACCGTCGGTCGGCCCTCTTCCAGATCCTCTTTGCCGTCTTTGACTCCCTCCAGGGCATTGTCATCATGGTCGTCCACAGTTTCCTCCGCAAGGAGGTCAGGCACGGGGGGGGATGTGTGGTGGAGTGGGGCGGGGCACTGAACGATAGAATAAATCCGCTTTGTGGATCGGCAGCGTTAGCCATCCCTTGCGTTCGCCGCGGTGCCGCGTGGCTCCATCCACCGTCACCGAGGCACATATGTCACAGCCTTGTGTGTATCGTGGATGTCCACGAAACCCACGGTACCTGCAGCTCTGCTGTGGCTAAGAGGCACCCACAAAAATGTGGATAAAAACCATTGGTATTTTTGAGTACATATTCTATCTCCCTTCAATACGTGACATGCTGATTATACTGATGATGGGACCTTTATATACACAGTAGTTCGCAAACAGTAGACTAACGACAGAGTCAGTTGTTGCGTAGATTTTATTTAATTACCATACGGTAACAAATATTTCGTGAAGTGGGGGGGGGTGAATGCTGTGGATCCTCCCTCCAATCTGACAAATGTCCAGAGGGAAGAAATCACTTGTAAGACAGCCCCAACTACCCAAGTGTCGTTGTGCCCCTGCAATAACAATAGACGTGGTGGATGGTGTAATTAATTAACTCTTCGGCTACTTCCATTACTGATTATAATTTAAGTGGCAGATTGGCAGCAAAACAGATGAGCTGGTGGTCTATCAAAATGGTAAATAAATCTTTCAAGATGTGAATCGGGCTCACGTGATTCCTAAGTCACTAGGGAAAAGTTCCACACATGTTATATTTTCGCTTATATGTTTACATTGAGCTGTAAAGAAATATGGCATGTTTAAGCATTCATAAATGTGTACTTTCCTCGTGTAATATTAATCTGGGAATTGAATTTGTGGTCACTGGGTGTTTGTGTTTCAAACAAGATTAAGTTGAAATTCTGTCCACCTCTTGCTTGGCAGAAATATGTCTCAATGCCAGCCTGACACAAGGCGAGAGCTGACACCATTGATGTTGACATGCCCGTGCCATGATGTTGACATGCCCATGCCATGCTGTTTGTAATTTAAAATTTCCAGGTACAAGATGCCCTGAAGTGTAGAACTAGAAACACGGCCGACCAAAGCAATGGGGAGTCAAGTGGAACGTTTCCAAACGGTCATGCTGAGATTTTGGTAAAGCCACCATTAACATTGAATCCTCAGTATTAGTGGATTGTTGGTTTAAGCTTTCAGTAAATGACCTATATTTTATCTCAAAGTGTTTTAATGTTAAGCTGATTATATTTTTGCAATGAATGCTTCTTTTAAAACAGTTGCATTTGTGATGTTTCTGACCCAATTTTTGTTTCTAATTTGTTTACATAGTCTGACTTTGAAAAGGATGTTGAAATGGTTTGTAGATCAGGTGAGTTTATTATCTTTAAAATGTTTGCATTATTTCTATTTTTATTTGTGTAAACTGGAATTGCTCATTACATAAGTGAAACAAAATGCCTGCGAAACAAAATGCCTACCATGTTCTCTTAAAATATTGTTCTGCTTACATTGCAACGCTCATGATAATCCGTTTCATAATTTAATGTAGTGTAACTTATTAATGTATAATAATGCATTAGCCTGGAAGTGTATGTCAAAGTACCCTCCAGAGTAGCTCCCTTAATTCCTCTCAAATGGAGGACTTTTCCGCCCGCAGTGGCGTGAGACAGATATTGCATTGTGGCACCTTTACCCTCCATTTATCTTTTTTACCTAATAATTAATTCTCCTTGATTTCAGATACATCGTTGTATAATTCAACTCATGAGCCGCTGTTATTTGTTCTCACCATTGCCCCCAGTGCTTAGCAAGGATAGCAGCATAAGTAGGACGGCCACAATGACGACGTCGATGGCCACGGACATCCTCCCGGAGCAAACGAGCCTGGAGAAGCCCGACTATAACCCAGAGGTGGTGAGCCAGCCGGGCTACCTGGTGAGCAACCTCCCAGACATTCAGCTGCAGCAGCTGTCCACCTCCGTGCTGCCCATGGGCATGAACGATCTCGGCAACTACCACCTGAGCATGGAGATGGCGAGCGGGGGGCAAGGCCCCGTGTACCTCTGCAAGGGGGACAACATGCAGGACGTGGAGTTGCTGCGAGCGCAAGAGCGGGCCCTCGCCAGCGACTACGTCGTGCTGCCGAGGAGCGCGCCGTCGTCGCAGGGCGGCGGCGGCGGCGGCGCCGGTGGCGACGGCTTGGAGGGGAATGTCGACGAGGTCACGCTGCGACGTGTGGCGCGTTTCAACGAGGACGGCACCGAGCGTCAGCCCATGGGCGATTGCGGCATGGACCTGACGAGCAGCCTAATGGAGGCCGCTTCGATGAGGCACCAGGGCGCCCCTTTGGAAGCGGCGGCTCATTCGTCCTTGAGATTTGGCTACGGGACTCTCAACAGAGAGATGCTCGGCCAGGTTTTAAGGAGCGAAACGAGCTCGACGGTTTCTCTTAACTCCTTGGAGGTATGTAAATAATTGTTTGAACCGCCGTAAAAAAAAACAAGCGTGGCTTAAAGAGAAAAAGAAAATTGGCCTGGCTGCGAAAATGTGCTGTTTGTTCCCAGTGTTTATTCCCAAAAGCAATGTAATTCATCAGCATTTAAAGAAGTGCTCTTTACTGGCTTGTAAATGATCAGTGGCATTTTTTTGTATTGAATATTCCGCACGTTGAAAAAACGTGTATTTTCACGTGATGCTGATGTATCTCATATTAATTTGCAAAAGCTGCACTCAGGATCATTTAATCTTATGTAGCCTGTTGTGTTCCCTCCATTTCAGAGAAGAAAATGTAAATATTCAGAATTGGATGTTGAGGTGAGCAGATGGTTTTTGCTTACGTGAACTGTAATGTAATTTCTCTCATGCAGTTCAGCTTAAGCTTAATCAGGGGGAAGTGCAAAGCTTTCTGATATTACGTGAACCAAATATGACTTTAATCATGATGGGTTGGTTTTCATATAATGGAGAAATTGAAAAGTGTGTTCCCTTTATGAATAAAATACAAACATGTTTTTTTTTGCGATGAGGTAATTTTTCCGATTTAATATTCAGTGCGTATCGACCAAACACACGTTTGATACTTATGATGACCCTATGGCATACCCAATACCGAAACCAAATTCGAAAATACGTTGTGTGCATGTGAGCTTTGCAGATAGAAATTCTGCATCACATATATATGTTGGCAAAATTGCACACTTGCCACTGCCACTGGCCACTAACCCTTCAATTTTAGCCTTTAAAACTCAGCTCCTTACTAAGCAAGCAGCCCTCTCCGAAAGTCAATTTGTTGACTTCTGGCAGATTCATTCTCCAAATTGAACACTTAACCTAAGAGCCATGAGGGTGGGCGGGAGGAGGAGGAGGGGTGGGGACTTAAAAAGCAAGTGTCTGACTAGCATTTAATTTTGAGCTATTCCATTGGTTATTGCTTTCAATTATTGTATATATTTAACTGTAAAATAAACGAATACATTGTGTGTATGTATTGAGTGATGCATCACATCCCTCAGGTATTTGGCTGCTATCAATTTTCACGTGACGACAAGCCACTTCGTTGAGTTATCAATTGTGATAGGCCAGGTCGCTTCTGAAAAATAGCTACGTAGCTCAGTGGGCCTTGCCTGGTAAAATAAAATATTGTTTAGTGAAATTAGCACACTCCCTCATTGTGCACCACTGCACAATAGGCATGTCCACTCCTACCACCGGCATTCACATTTCACGTGCGCCACAGGTTACAGCTCTCGCATCACCTGCTCAGGAACGCGGCGTCATGTGCAAGGAAATAAACATGTATTTGTTTCTCAGCCTTGACCAACATAATGGCCCTCGTTGTATACTCATCTCTTTGTTTTAGAAAATTATGCGTACGCGCAAGAGGCATTTAGACATGTTCCAGGATTTGAACCAGAAGTTCCAGCACGTCAACAAAGACAGGGATATCTCGACGGTTGATCTCATGGTAAGAATTGAAGAGCTGTAAGTACCCTCTCACAATGCAATTCATGTTTACAACGCTCCACAGTATTATTATATGTTGTGCATTATATAGTTGTACGTCAAACTAAGCCCCGCGGCAAACAACGTCCTTGCCTCTTAACATCTGGCGGTTCATCAGTATCGGTTTAAGCAAGCCTCATGAGATGCTGAATGTCAAAACTGGTCCAAAAATTGGCTTGTATTTGCCCAATTCTGCTGAAATGATGCAGGACATACGTGTGTGAAGGAGACGCATTATCTGCGTATTCCCTCGGTGTTTGTTGTAAATTTGCTCTCTTGTGGTTTCATTTGAATAGAAATCGAGCCAGAGGTGGAGTGTTTCTTCAGCAGGAAGTGAAAAGGTAAAAATTACATTTACCACTGCAAATTGGAGGCAAATGTAGCCGTCTGATCATGAAAATGCAGTCAATGGTGCAATGGAATGCATTTGTGTTATCCTATTTGTTGTTTCGTATATTGTGCATTGGGATGTTGTCGTTGTGTTATAGTGAGAACAGTGGACACATACAGAGGTCGCCAGTGTGATTTAATCTCCCGGGATGGCAACTGAAACAACGATGCAAGTTTCTTAAATCCCCCCCCACATCTGTCCACCGAGCAGTATAGACGGCTCCATCAAAGTTAGTCGATCAGCAGGTCGTGCGTGGCGGGGCAAAGACCGGGTACTCCTACCGCGTCCCAATTCGTCTGGCCAGCGTGAAAGAGTAGGCCAAATACCTTTTATATAGCGATTCTCCAGAGTAATCAATTGTGGGGCTGCACTTTTGCCTTTTTGTTTTGTCATCTGCTGGAGATGTTGAGATATATTTGACTATCCCAATCGATCAATCGTGCACCATGACCATGCAACTCATGGACCACCCTAAATCGCATCCACTGCACAAACCGTGGCAGATGCGGAGACCTGATACACAAGTGGAAAATTAAAAACTCTCCAGAGTGTGACTGTGGTCACTCAGAACAGACCGTACAACGTATAACGAGACAATGCCCTCGATCCACGAATACGAAGGTGACATCACAGCGACAAACTCTGCTACTCCTGATGCGGTTGACTGGCATGACCACCTTGAATGTGAAATTGTATTCGTTGCTCTGCATCTACATCGGCCATACGAAAGACAAAAAAGTGTGTGCACCAACTCTAGCGTCGTATGTGCGAGCCTTGCTCAAGTTTTGTTTGAATTTAAAATGTGTTAAAATTTGTCAAAATTATCCTATTCCTATATCCAACCGTATAACCCAGGTTGCTCTGAAAAATAAACTCTCGTCTCAACTCTCACTGGGTCATAACCTGGTTCAACAATAAAGGATCTGCATGCTATATTCCATTTCCCATGAAGCCATATATGGATGGCTTCATGACCGAATCTTTGTTGATAGCCAGTGGGATTGCAAAGTACCTTCGTCTTAGAGAAATCAGTTTCGTGTCAGCCAGCCACATTAAAATAATGATCAGCCACGGCAGAAATATTGGTCCTCCCGTGTTTCATGTCATCAACCACTTTGGGTCATGGCTTGATTTGTGTTTCCTTGTTATCTTACCCCAGGGCACATATGCCCCGCCCACTTCATTGCACCGCCAGAGCTCTTGTGCCACGCCCATTTCTGAAACCTTTATAAACGGTTGTCTTCGGTGACCTCCCCCCTCTTTCTACATGAAGCCGACGTTCGCTTGTGATCGAAACATCGTGGTTTTAATTTGTTTTATTTTTTCTATCTACGTGACTTTTCCGAAAGAACCAAAGAATGTGAATTCCTGCAGTCATGAAAGTTTTATGTAAAAAAAATTACGGTCTTGTTAAAGAAACCAGTAAGACACATTTTGTGTGATTTACAGACTTGTAGAAGGGGAATAGTTGCAATCCAAATTACCATATCTGTTACATTAGATTCACGACTGTGTTACACATGCATTACACATACCCCAACCCCTATCACTATTTCTGCCCTAAATCATGTATTGCATGTGCAGTGTCAACGATTCAGAGACAGTTTCCACGGCCTCATCCGCACACTCTCCACAGTAGCTCAGCCTAGCCTGTACACTACCCGAGCCGTCTAACACTGATGGCGCTGACTGAGATAGCCAACTACTATCCTTCCTAGCGGAGACGTTTAACGACGACAGCGAGGAGACGACAGCAACGACGAGACGAATCAACTCCCAGAACCAGCAGCCTCGAGCCCCCGATCTCGGCTCCTTTTATGCTCCCAGCACAGCCTGGCTCCGCCCTGCATGCGCCTCCCTTCTCGAACCCGCTACAAGGTTCCAGGGGCCTCCAGACGGGGTCCTCCGTGACCCTTGCCCCAGTTCCTCCGCCCTGCCAACACACACCGTGTTCACACTCACCAGCGTGTGTACTGTCTGTCCACCACAGTTGCCGCTGCTGCCCACCAGCCAGCGCTATTACACTACACATGTGTAACCTGCTTCCGCTCCTCCCTTAAAACAACCCCCATCTCTTCTCCCTTGCCCAGCCTGCTACTGATACTTCCTGCCCCGCCCCCCAGCTACGACCAGTCTTACCCCAACCCCTATCACTAACTACCCCTACCCCAACCCATATCAGTACCACTACCCCAATCACGATTCTAACCCATGCTTAACCTCCCCCACCTTTTCTCCTGTTACCATAACTGTCTTGGTACTTTCAAAAACCCCACTCTGTAAAGTGCCTTGGAATAAGGCGTTATATAAACACATGTAAGATTCGATTTAGAGACATATCCTGGAACAAGACAGACTCAAGCAATAACGACTGGAAACATTTTTAAAGGAAAAATCGGCTAAATGAATTCAACGATGAAAGTAGATAATAATTTTAAAAAATATAATGTATTGCTTCTTTGAGTCTGAATAAAAGAATAAAAACATCGCTCTTCTACCTTATACATTCAACTCCTCTCGGGAGGGGCCAATTGTGCTAAAGACAGTACATTTGGCATGTTACATTGATTGACTCTGTCATGTGTAATGTCAAGTCATCCCCGGTGGCAATACATCAGTTTAAAAACAGAGGGCTCGCTTGGATGCGTGTGAAATACGTAACGCGAGATGGAAATCCGGTGGACGTCGTCTGCCTCGCGCGACATTAAAAAGCAATCCTCGTTCACGTGCCCCCCCTTTTGCCCCTCTCGCTGCCCTACAACGGCCCAGGAGAAGCTGACCCCGAGTCGCAGCGCGTGGGACGGACAGCGCAGTACGTCGAACCACATGTCGCCCGCGTGGAGCGGCCTGGCCTGCCAGTCGCAGCCCGGCGCCGCCGAGTGGGAGAAAGCCGTTGGGCCTCTGCCCCTGGTGGCCCACGAAGGGGACATTCAGACGGAGGTGTAGGAACGTGCGCGCGCACTGCCACGCGCCACGTCTTGCACGTGTCTCCCCCCTTTCCGCGACTTGGAGGTGTACAGAGCAAGAGGACTTTTAGCGAAAGAACGTTGTGTTTAATACCAGGCACCCGCGTCCTGCTGTTGATCTGTTGATCATGATTGTGCTGCTTTATAAATACACGATGCCATTTATCATCCCCCCCCCCCCCCTCGTCGAAGCAAATTGCGTGGTTTTGTTTAGTTGAATGTGTTACAGCGTTCTAACATATTTTTTTAGTTTGTTGTGCCATTTGAGTTGATATATTACAAATGTTAGGAATGAAATTCACCCGAATAGTTTTTTTTCCTATCACTGCAATTTCAGTATCTTGCAAATATCTAAATTTTACTTAAGGTATGCTGATATGTCGATATATTAAAGTTACTGGTGTATACCAGTATGGTATTTTTTTAATATATATTTCTGAAAATATTAAAAAGCCACCAATGTGTTGTGAAGTAATGTGGAATAAACGTGTTTCATATGGTATATTTTCCAACATTGCCTTACATAAAATCCTATAGGGCAGCCAATAAATAGCATTTAAAACATCCTTGTTTGATCCTTATGCACATGTAATATAGATTAAGACAACATTCTATAGAAGAATGTACACATTTCAAATTTGCATAAGATCACGTTGGGATATCCTTAAACTCTTTAAGGTGGTTATGTAAGGAACTGGAATAAAGTAAAATTTTTATTTTTTTTCAGATTGTTTATTTTATTGCAGGAGATGGTACGTTTACATAAGACATGCAGTGAGAAAAAAATACCTAATATATATAAAAAAAGTTACTACCTTTGGATACAAATAGATATGATTAACCTTTTAATTTGCATTCACAAAAAATGTATAATAGAAATGCCACTGTATATTTACAACAAAAGTCAGCCTTAATTGGACATGCCATCGAATTATAAACTAGAAGGTAAAATGTTATTACATTGACAATCACAAAACAGGTGTGTAATACATGTGCCCATTGGCCCTTTTAAAAATGTAGTTTACCACTGAGTATTAAATATGGTGACGTATGATTCGACTTTGCTTATATTTACAGCTTTAATGTGTAAAAAAAGCATAAATTATAACTTTTTAGTTTTGTGTTTGAACACCCATTTTCAAAAGCATCCTCTCCACTTGCCAAGTTGTACATATAACCTACCTTATACACTGTCAACACAGAGATAACTTATTTTTTAAAATACAATAATATTAAATATAAAGTCTCGTAGATATTGCAAGTATTTTGTTTCTTACATGCTCACTCTTAAATCTTTCATACAGCGACCTCGGTTTGAGTTTGCAATAGCCATGTAGAAAATTATTTGCACAATTTTGCTTTTACAATGGGTAACAAGTCACACGAAAAAAAGACAACGCTACTTATAAATAGGATTATTAAAATGAAAAAAATCGCTTGGGGCTGATGAATTTTAATTTCTGTAAAAAATATTTATGCATTCAGCTTTTCATCTGCACTATGGCATACATTGTATAAATTGTGCTAACATGTTTCTTTTTTTAACAGAACAAAAAAACTTATACTATTAAGCAACCTATTGTACATTGATATAATATGTAAGCAGAACATCTAACGGTTTAGTTTAAAAAAATTAGGATGAGTATATGTTTGGCTGTTTTATTAACAATGTATTATTCAATAGAGATAAAAAAAATTGATTACGTTTTTTCCCCGAGCTAATGCAACGCTTGGGTTTGTCATTTATTTATAGTAGCTTAAAAACTGCTATTTTCTGATGTATGAAAGTTTGTAAGCTGTACAAGGCTTCAGAGGGTTACTAGACATGTAAAAACATGTTTATTAAAATAAATCAATTTATAAATAAAATATATTGTGCCCAAGTTTTCGCAATTGTAAATATTATTTGCACACATGCATATTTATAATTGGGTGTGCAGTGGAAGTCACGTTTGAGTGATTTCACTGGGTGTGTTTTTGTGGATGCCTGTGCTTTGCTAACTTAGGAAAGCCACACTTATTCATCATCTGCAACCTAATTTCACTGCTTAGGGAGGTAAACGAAGCCATGCATCGAATGTCTTTGATTGCTATTATTTTTAACGTACGATAAAAAAAACGCAATCATAATTTCAAGCCTCATTTCAACTCACACGGTACATTAAAAATCATTCAAACAAACGTGGTAATTGTGAAGAAATATGTACGCCATAAAATTTTCCGTAAGGTGCCCTTTCACTGTATTATATGGTTTTTGTTGTAATGTTTCCACAATTGCATCATTGTTCTGGTCATGTCATGAGATGATGCATTTGCATTTTTTACAAAGCAGTGCATTCCTACTTATTAGAGAACGGCCTTTGGAAGTGGATATCATAGAGCTACCACTGAGATCCCTACAAGTGACCTATTCTATGGTTCAAACAGTAGGTGGTAGAACTTTTTTTTATCTTCTTTGCATATTAGTGTATTGTTCAGTCAAACCAATAGTTTAATTCCCAGAGCTGAAATTTTACCGAAATTAAATGCAGCACCAGGTTTAATGTTTTTTTGGATGCTGTTAATTTGAATCTAGATACTAGAAAAACTAACTTTAGTTTTTTAGGTAAAAGTAATCCATAATTTAATTACAAGAATGCCAACAACAAACAATATCATTTTAATAAAATTTAGCAAAATGCAAGAAACAATCACTTTTTCCACCGGATACAATTATACTAAATTCTACCTCCTGCAATACCGTTCCATAGGTGATTTATATGACCAATCAATACAGCATAAGTTATCACCAATGTAATGTACATTGATATAATTAAGGATAGCCTATCACGAGGTCTGAGTGCTTGTGAACACCTGGTGATGCTGTTTGTAATCCATAAGAGGTTTTGGGGTGAGATCGCGTAAATATATAAATGTGTCGTTAAAACCCGCCAACACCCGACACAGCCAACTAGTAAGGGTTGTCACGTAAACAGAACGTGGCCAATTCGTCACTAGTACAGCACATCGGTTGGAGAGCCAAGCCACAACATTTACAATCTGAGTACGACGTTTCACCAGTAATTACAACTAGCTTAATCAGGCGACAGCCAGATTTGGAGAAGTCCACCTGTTTCGTTCCTTAAATAGAGGCATAGATGTGTTGACCATGCTTCTGCACTTTTGCACAATGTGGTGGGGGGGGATGATTACCGAGGCAAGGTACGTTATGCATGTGCATTATGCGAGCCCTTTGAACTCGTCCTTCCTGTCTATTGTTTATTAAAATAGCTCTACCAAAGGTAATCCCTATTGAAGTCCGCTGCCCTTCGTAGGCATGCATTTGTAGTGGTGTTATTTCACACGGACAACTTATTATTTTCTCCTGTGTCACTTTATTCGTACAGAACTTCTCACGTTTAACACCGCACGTCTCCGTCGCAACTTGCTCGCTCCCCTAGCCTGCTACGTTGCCCTCTGCCAGCTTCTCTGCCAGCTTCTCCACTGCCAGCCTCTCATTAACTGCTATCCGCTCACTATACACTCCGCTAGCTTCTCCACTGCTAGACTTTCACTATACACTCTGCTAGCTTCTCTACTCCTTATCACCCTCTCACTGAGGATTCCGCTAGCCTCTCTACTGCTAGCCTGTCTACCTTCACTCCTCCAACCTTGCCCGTGCCTCCAGCGGGGGATCAGCCAACACTGCTGCAGAGGACGAGGTGCGGCGAGCCAGGTCCCGGACTTCTCTTGAATTCACTCTTGTCTTCACTCCAACCAACTCAACTCCTCTGACTCACACATTCCCCTTTTATCCCCCTCCTTTTTAAGTGCCCCCAGATGACCCTCATTAAGCCGGCGTCCTCCCCATGCCTCACGCACGTGTTCTCCCCCTTATCGCCACTATCTCTCGCCTCCGTGGCGCCTACTCCGCGTTTGCATTTGCAGCCAATCACTGTCTCTTTCCCTAATTGCGGGCGTCTCTCTGTCTGCTGTCACGCAGGCCACCCGCCTGCACCTGCTTATCTTTAGCTGACCTCACTGTCTGCAACCCCGTACATAATACAACTTCTGTTTGCAAACCCTGCACGCCTTACGCCACTAAACATTGAAATAATGTATTATTTGATGATTCGCTTCCATGCAGCACTAAGGCGGTATCTATTCGAATGGTTAAAGTTATTTTGATTTCTTTCAATTTCGATAGATTCTCTAATTAGTCTTAGCTAGTAGTAGCTAGTTTTGCACAAACTTCAACATTATCAAAATCAATTGAGTTTCCTTGTTGGCACGTGTATTCTGCTACTGCTGACAGTTGTATTTTGGAGAATTTACTATTTCTCTGATGTTCTTTCAGTCTTGTGCTGATCATTCGTCCTGTTTGCCCAACATAACATTTACCACACGTGCAGTTAATCCTGTACACACCTTCTGTTGGTAGCTTCAGTAATACATGTTTTGTACCAGATATTTTATTTCTGCATTTTATGTACAATGCCAAATCTGACTCGGATGTTTTGTTTTTCCAAACATCTGGCAAGTTTATCAGTTACTCCTGCAATGTACGGTATTTTGATCATTTTTATTACTTGGGCAGTTTCAATGCTCTTGTAATTTTATATTCAATGCCCTGTTGATTTGTGCATTATTGTGAAGAGGAGTCGGAGACTGGTTACGCACTTGTTTATTCTTCAACCCACAGCCACACTCGTTCCTAAAACCAACCCGGAATACGCGTCTCGCAGCCCCTTTTAAAACCTCCATCTCCGCCCTCGTTCCCAATACACATCTCCGTCTCGAGTCCATGTGACGTCAGTGCCCTTTAACCCTTGACCCCCGTCTCGTGTATTCCCGTGCGTGTGATTGGTGTGTGCTCTGCTAAGTGCGGAGATTTCATGTCTGCGTGGTGCGAGTGCGTGAGGATGGCTCGCAGATTCCCTACAATTGTAACCGTTAATTTGAAGCACTTCTTTAACATGTTGAATTTCACTTCTCAAACTGTCACCATCTGACACTTTCTTAGCTCGATGAATGAGCATCTTGATGAGATCAGATTTCCGTGCGGGGTGATGGTGTGACTCTGCATTCAGATAGGAGTCAGTATGCATTTTCTCTCGGTAAACACTGTTATTTACCATTTAGACCCCATCCGAGTGGAATATCCAGAAATGGTAGACTTCTGTCAGCTTCCACTTCCATGGTGAACTGGATGGATGGGTTTTGCGAGTTGAGATGGTTTAGAAATGCGTTTAGTGTATTTTTGTCGTGTGGCCAGACCACCAAAATGTCATCCACATATCTAAACCAAGCAGATGGTTTTAGTGTGCTCCACAATTCTGGCTGTCGCCTGATGAAGCTAGTTGTAATTACTAGCGAAACGTCGTACTCAGATTGTAAATGTTGTGGCTTGGCTCTCCAAAACTCCAGTGTGCTGTACTAGTGACGAATTGGCATGTTCTGTTTACGTGACAACCCTTACTAGTTGGCTGTGTCGGATGGTGGCGGGTTTTAATGACACATTTATATATTTACGCGATTTAACCCCAAAACCTCTATTATGGATTACAAACAGCATCACCAGGTGTTCACACGCACTCAGACCTCGTGATAGGCTATCCTTAATTATATTAAATGACGATACTCACCGTTGCATAATGACCATTAGCCACGGAGCTTTGTGGATGCTGGAGGAGGCAGAGCCCCCCTCTTCGAGTCAAGCCGTAGAATGTTGGTACATCATTCGACGGGCGCCGGAGCCTTCCTCGTACACAGTGGCGACGAATGTATTTTTATTTATATAGAGTGTAAGTAGAATATGAGCAAAGCGAAAGTCCTGTGCACGTGCATGTGTCTTGGAGTTGTTATGGTGTTGGCATAACGTTGTCATGTTGGCATAACAACTCCAAAACACATGCGAGTATGTGCAGTATATATTTAACAGTCACGAAAGGTCGGCCTGCAACAATGTGATATAAAGAGATTGACGGAAGTAGGATTGCTTTTGGAAAACTGAACTGATAATGAAAAGCAACGTATCATTGTGCGACGGGGAAGAATGTGTTTATAATAGGTGAATGTTACATCCCGCTGTGCGTATCAGAAACCGAGACAATGACAAAGGAAATGGGACCACGTCTGATATGTGCACCAAGAAGCAAGTGGTGGTGCATGCGTGGAATTACAGAAATAGGAACACATGAATCTGGAAAAAATTAACCCGTAAAAACAAAGTTTGTCACTATAAATCCTTTATATGTGTGGCGGCTAGAGTCATCTCGTCCTCTGACTTGAGATGGCTGCCACCTATGGGTCAGATGATTGCCTGCCACCATTAAGCAATTGGTAATTATATATAAAAAAAAAATCCTAAAAAGTGTAAAATTTTGGAAAAAAAATTTCACGAAAATAGATTGTCACGCACAACGAGTCTGTGTGCAAAATGTCAGCTCGATTTGATCACGGGAAGTAGGGTAAAAAACGACCGAAAGATTTGCACGGTCGTAAGCGCGCAAGCAAGCAAGCAAGTGAACTTAATATAAATGATTTAAAAAGGAGTTCAAAGCTATACACGTATTATTGACTGAAATGCGATTTTGATGGTTTGGAACTTAACTTTAGTATATTCTATTTATATTTCAGAAAACCTTAACACCAAATGTGCATTCATGTAAAATACAATCAGGAGAGAATGCTGCCCTCGTGCAATGGTTGAACACAGTGGAGGTCACTTGCAATCAGTGGCTCTATGAGATCTCCCGGTGCGGCAGCTGAAACAAGAGGACAACTCAATAATACAAGTCACAATCAATTGGTAGGTCACGTGTGGTGGGATACGGCGTGGATACTCCCACCTCTTCCAAGTTGTCTGGCCGGTGTGGAAGACTAGGCCAAAGGACCGTCTAAAGGG